GCCATGGACTAGCAGTTCTAGGACCCCGGAGGATTAGTTGAAGTATTGCAAACTGGCCTCGAACACTCCTTGGTGTGATAAAAAAAAAAAAAAAAAAATTAATGCTCATACCCTTAATCTTTTTACTTTTCCTTGTGACCGAAAGTGTCTAGACTAGCTTACACACATACCAGCTAATCCCTTGAGGCTCTAAAGTGAACAATCGAGTAAATCCCCAAAGTGACCACCTTTATTAGTGTCCGGGAGGACTCAAACTCAAGAACCCATGTTGAACCCCTTTCCTTTTTTTTTATCATCAGGCAACCCAGTGGTTAATCTTAATGATTGAAGAAAATTAATTTATTGGCTACTACAATTTTCATTTCATATCAAAATTAATGTAAACATAATTTTGAGTGGGTATTTCGGATAGGAATGTGAAAAACAAAAAAGACAAAGTGGGGTTAGTATGTGGTGGCAGAGTTTGGCCCACGTGATAAAGGGGTAATGAGAGAAAGCACATGGTAGCTATTGGCTATTGGTATCCGATTATGTGCCTTTTAATTTCAAAAACCTTTCAATTCTCTAACCCCCTAAATCACCTACAATTTTGACTATGTTACCACATCTTTTTCATATCTTTCCCATTACCAAGTTTCATTTCAATTATTTATGACCCCATTTCTAAAACTAAAAATCTTCTCATTGAAGTTGAGTATCATAACTCTCATCCTTTTCTCCGCAAACAGAAAATATTCTTAAGCTTTGTCCTTGGTCATTCAAGTTTTGGTAAGAAATACAAAATTACTTTAAAAATCTCATATCGAACAAATTCCTGATGATTCGTGTAATTTCCTTTTCTTCAACATGTAACAAAACTCATTTAAAATCAGAGGGTATTTAGTGTATACTTAACCAATCTCACATTAATACTAATTACCTTATTTAATCTTACCAATCCAGCTTTATTTCATGTGGGGATAAGCAAGAAACAAGGTACAATAACTTGCCATTAATTTAAAAGATACATATCTTTAACTTCTTAGCACATCTCTAAAAGACTTTTTATATGATTCAAACTATTTATTATAAAGAGTTTATCCATAAAAACAAAAGTCGAACAGACTTTTTATTCTTAAATATAAATTAAAGAGTGAGTTTGACTCTCCACATTAACAGCATCTCCAATGGTGCTCTTTATTTTGAAGAGCATCTTTTATATAAATAAAGAGCATTTTATTAATTTTAAAATATAAATAACACAATTTTTATTCAAATCCAATAGACTTTTTAAATTTAACGAAGTTGCTCTTTATTTTTAAGAAAGAGACTTAATGGGAGAGAGAATTAATAAATAAAATGCATAGAAACTTATAATTTATTAATTAAAATTATGATAGAGAGTGAAATTTGACTCTCTAAATGTGAAGAGTCAAACTCAGTCTTTAATTTATATTTTAAATATAAAGAGTCTGTTGGACTCTTGTTTTTATGGATAAACGTTTTATAATAAAGAGTTTGAGTCATATAAAGAGTCTTTTGGAGATCTTTTTAAAGGGTCAAATTTCACTCTCTATCCTAATTTTAAATAAATAAATTACAAGTTTCTATGCATTTTATTTATGATTTATTGTTCCTATTAAGTTTTTTCTTGAAAAAACATATTCTCTTTCTTAAAATTTAAAAAGTCTATAGAATTTGAATAAAAATTTTATTTTTTATATTTAAAAATTAATAAAAATACTATTTATTTATAGGAAAGATAAATAAAGAGCATCATTGAAGATACTCTTACAACAAACTGACCAACACTACCTTTTTAACATGTGCCTCCGCGTCTCACATGGGTTTTGAGCCAACTACATCTCTATCTTTTTTCTTTTGCTTCTTAATTCTTTATTTTTCTCATAAGAATTGATGAAACGTCAGGAATTTACAGAACTTCAGAAAAAGCCATAGCCATATCTTTCCTTCAGTATTTACTTGGGACATACTCTATGTATATGCTGCGTATGCTTTACTTCTTCACTACATAGCAACATACTAGAGTGAAACATGAACACTTTTTTACTCTTTCACCTGTCAAACCATATTCCCAGATGTCTAATTTCCAAAAATTTCTTTTAGCATTATATGTCATTTGAATAAGAAACAGAGAAAACGAAAGTTTAAAAACGGTTCATAAATTATACTATGTGGGCAAAGATATATATGTCACTAAAAGATTCGGTTAATGAAATATTTGATGAAAGGAGACAGGCCCTTATGCCGAATGCAACTAAGGTGAGCTGGTGAGGTTGAGACTTCAATGAAAAAAATAAATAAAAGAAGGTTGAAAATGGGACACATAAGCTTGAAAATGATTAAATTGGTCATTTATGTTGGGGTTTTGTGTTGTAGGAAGTGAAAGGAGGATTCATGTCATGTGGGTAGAAACAGGAAGCTTTATTTGTTGAACAAATAAAGAGAATTGGTCCAATCCAACACAATGAAAACAATAAAAATGAAAAAGTAAGTAGGTGTAGTTATGCTTTAAAGGAAACTAATCCTGTAGAGAAGCATATTTTGTAATTGCTTGGAAGGGAAAAGAGACTGGTCCCATGTTTTAATTTGAAAGTTAAAAATATATATATATATCATCTCAGAACCCAAGCTTTTTTTGACAACACAGCAGGTTATCATGGTAGCCCATGTTACTTCAGTTAAATGGTCTTACACCACTCTTAAGGAATATCACTTTTTCTTTGGCTGAAGATATAATTGTGTGGAAAGCCAACAAAAAATAGCCTTGCATGTTAGAGTTGACCAAGTTTATAAATTAACTGAAATTTACATTAAATGTTTCTGTATTGTGACTACTTACAGATATCATAACAATCCTATTTTTTTTTTTTTTTTTTTTTTGGGTTGACCAGTGGTAACTGGCCAACTTGTATGCACTTCATCTAATTTCTCAAAACCCTGAATTGACAATCGGTAAATCTCCTCAGTTAGCCACATTATTAACAATTTAAGTGGATCAAACTCAGGACCTCTTGAGTAATACACACAAGTCATAATTGACCATAACAATCCTTTTGACCTTTAACAATATTAAGTTTTGGTGATGTCTTTTTTTTTTTTTTGGTAATATTTTCTTTTAACTCCATTATCAAGTAAGTTTTTGAGTATGGAGCTCAACAAAGATAACGTGCGGGTAAGCAGGTAGCTGTTTGTCTGGGAACAACAAAGGGAATCATCAATTTACTTCTTTCAGTCTTTGTTTGTTGAATGGTAGGTCAATTCTGGAATTTCTGTTGCATGTGCAGTAGCATCTGTTAGACGAACTAGGTATAAATCTACTTGTCATATATGTATATATATATATATATATATATAGAATGAATCACACTGATTTTTAAAGCAAAATGCTCCTATATACCACTGACTGCAACATGAAAGCTTCTTGCCTTTCAGGTTGAGTAGCAGTTTCTTTATCCAGCTCCAAAACTAGACAAGAGGTTTTTGAGTATATTTATTTAGGCATGTTTCTTGGAACATCAGAAACAAAAGATTATATTGTTCTAAGTAATGAACAATGAGCATTGATAATTTAACCATGCATTCATCTATAATAAACGATGTTCTGAAGATTAGATAGCCAGAGGAAGCTGAATTGGATTTCATTTGGCGGCTACAAATTCATAAAATAGAATTTTGTAACACTCATTTGGCCACAATCTTCATTCCCTGTTTTTGGAAGAATGATATACAGGAAGTTGCATCTTAGGGATGTACCAAAGGTGATAGTCACAGTTAACAAAAATAACTTATTCAAACCAAATAATTATTACTTGCTTATCTTCAATGATTTAAATCATTTAGTTTTAGCTGTTTCATACTTTCACTGCAGCTGCCAGTTCATAACTTATGTGGGAGCACATTGGTACTGAACATGACTTAATCATGTTCTATGATTTGCCCGTAAAATCGAAACTTGAATTCCACTTCATTCTAGGCTTTGCAGCTGACTATACTAGCGAAAATCATCCTTCACCAACTAACTATACATTAATTTGATGAAACTCATCAAGCTTGATTCTAACATGTGAAGGCTAACTGGTGACAGATATTTCTTCTTGCAAAGGAACATATCCTGGTTAAGGATCAGCTATAACAAGCAGACAATTAATAGGTAATGGGCCACAAAAAAGCATCAACACTAGACCAGCCGCGTAAGCAGCTGAAAGATGCTGTCCTCATTCCCTATCACCGTCCTCTGTTGTTACAATCTCCCAGCACAATATGCTCTACGAGGTTTCATTACTGGTGTCACTATAATAAGAATAGTGGAAGCAAACCAAATTGATCCTCTTTCTATGATACATTGAATCTGAAGTCAATAATATCAAAATTTTCTTATGTGCCTTTGGGCCATAAGCAGAAGTCCACTCCATTTTTAGCGTTTGCGGTTGAATAGAAAAATACCTCATCATCATCTTACATTTAAGGGAGAAAAAGTTGCAAAGTCAAACAACTATATATCAAGGTGATTCAACGCCAACCACCCCAAATACATCAACTATAAATTACGTATCTTTGATAAACAATTCCTGTTGGTTATAAGATATAATTGACAGTCAAACTGGTCCTCCATCTCCTGCCATAGATGACAAAGAAAGTTACATATATTAAGTTCTCTCTCTTTTCCTGGAAGGCTCGAATAACATCATTATGTCTTTAAAGCAACTTTGACTAACAGATAATATTCGTATGGCACTATCAAGTAATCTTTATATAATGGTTTCCACAATCCTTTGCCACAAATACCGGAATATCTTATCAGATAAAGAAATTGGAGCAAAAAGATTAGGTTGGCCTTTGACAAAGACCCAATTAGCTCCACTGAATATTTTTTTCAGTCCATAGAGGCGGCTTAATTATAGTAGACTTGTTGGAAATATTATACAAAAAATCTTTACCAAGTCAACTGTCTGAATTTTCATTTTTACCATAAGAATGGAGCTTGAGTGGTCTTCTATGGAAATACATATATATAAATATATATAGCAGCAACACAAAAGCATATACAATTTCCAAATCGAAACACTTCATTAGCAATGGAACTCTTGAAGCTTTTGATCACCCTTTTCATTCTACAAGCTTTTCTCCCCACCACTACATTGATACAAGCAGCTCCTACAAACTCAAATCTCTTCAGAGAATATATCGGAGCAATGTTCAAGAGTGTCAGATTCACTGATGTTCCTATTAACCCAGATGTTGAACTCCACTTTATTCTCTCTTTTGCCATAGACTATGACACCTCAAGTTCTCCCTCTCCCACCAATGGAAAATTCAACATCTTTTGGGACTCCGCCAATCTCAGTCCCTCCGAAGTTTCTTCCATCAAGAGACGCCATTCGAATGTTAAAGTAGCCTTGAGCCTAGGCGGGGATACGGTGGCAAGTCGTTTTGCTTACTTTAGTCCTTCTTCAGTAGACTCATGGGTATCAAATGCTGTTTCTTCTCTAACACGAATCATCAAGGAGTATAATTTGGATGGAATTGATATTGATTACGAGCACTTTCATGGTGATCCTCATACCTTTTCTGAATGCATTGGACGGCTTATATCTACCCTCAAAAGAAATAAAGTTATCTCATTTGCCTCAATTGCTCCATATGATGATGAAGAAGTTCAAAAACGTTACCTGGCCTTGTGGAAGAGTTATGGTCACCTAATAGATTATGTCAACTTCCAATTTTACGCGTATGATAAAGGGACCACTGTATCTCAGTTCATGAATTACTTCATGACACAGACCTCTAACTATAATGGTGGTAAGGTGTTGGTGAGCTTTTTGAGTGATGGCAGCCGGGGTTTATCACCAGATGATGGCTTCTTCACTGCCTGCAGCAGACTCAAGAGCCAGAAAAAACTTCATGGTATCTTTATTTGGTGTGCAGATGACTCAAAGGCAAACGGCTTTCTCTATGAGAAGCAATCACAAGCGTTACTTGCAAATCCGCATTAGTATCGTCGTTACATGATGAGATGGTGTCCTTATATCTTGGGAACACCACATCATTGTGTCGTATGATACATGCATCAATCAGAGTGGCAAGTTCTCAATTACTCCTTAAATTATTGTGCTCAAAATTTTTACAAAGTCTTGGAAGACTTTTGTATCAACAAGCAATAAATACCTTCTTAGTAATATGGTTGCCTTTCTAAATCAAATTCATTCCCGAATTTTCTCCTAATCACTTACAGAACCTGAAATTTTTTTCATAGCCGATTAATCGGCACCCTGTTCTCCTCAATATGAATCAGAAACTTCAAAGTGCTCATTTTTTAAAAAATTTAATAAATAGGAGTAAAAAATAAATTTTCTTGACTTACCCAGAAAGCTTTTGGGTTTCTTATGATAAGACTTGAGCACAAGACATAAAAGATAGAAAGAAAATTATAAAAACCAATCATTATTTTTAAAAGCAAGTTATGCAAAGAGAGACATCGGATTCTGCAAGTAAAGAAACCAGTTGATCCATAAAATATAAGCCAGTTACTGTCATATCATGTTTCTATCAATCATCTGCTTACTAGCAAGCTCTGATTTTACAGATATTGTAAATGTCATACTATTTTGTTAATTACTTTTGCATAGCTGAAGAAGAACTTTGATACATATTATTTAGATCACTATTATGGCATTATTATGTCTTTTGGACTGACACGCAAGGCCACTATATAGTAATCAACAAGAGATTACTGATAAAGACAAATATTTGGTGAATTGCCCTCATCGCAAATTGGCCCCAGGATTGCCGTCCTTTGCAGGAAGATAAAATCCTTTCCATCAAGTGGACACAGTTCATGAAAGCAAATAATATGACAATATTAGAGTATCAATTGAAAGGTTAAAAAAATACTTTTTTAATTTTGTATGATATCATAATTTTTGAATACTAATATCTCAGCTTCTTGTTATTTGCTGAAGATAAAAGAATTGTCTTATATGAAAACATCAGAATAAGGGTATTCATTAGGTCTTTTATCTCTTACGGGGAATCATCAAATCTATGATGGATTTTCTTATTTTCCTTTTAACTAAGCAGAATATATAAGATTGTTAAATTCAGAATTATGGAGACGGCACGGGACACTCAATTTTTTAATTTTTGAGTTTCCCCATCTTCAAATTTTCTAAACTATATAATAACATCTAATTACACATTCCATTTCACCCGAAGGCTACACCACAAATCTACTCTTCAATTGCAATGGAGCTGATCAAAGTTTTCTTCATTGCCCTTCTCATTCTTCAAGTTCTTTTTCCCTGCAATGCATCAATCCAAGCCCCTAAGAATTCAAACCTCTTCAGAGAATATATAGGAGCTGAATTTAACAATGTCAAATTCAGTGATGTTCCTATTAACTCAAACGTTGAATTCCACTTCATTCTCTCTTTTGCCATAGACTATGACACCTCGAGCTCTCCCTCACCCACCAATGGAAAATTCAACGTCTTCTGGGACTCAGATAATCTCAGCCCTTCACAAGTTTCTTCCATCAAAAGTCAGCATTCAAATGTCAAAGTTGCAGTGAGCCTTGGAGGGGACAGTGTGGCTAATGGCAACGCTTACTTCAACCCTTCCTCAGTGGACTCTTGGGTTTCCAATGCCGTTTCTTCCCTCACAAGCATCATAAAACAATACAACTTGGACGGAATTGACATTGACTATGAACACTTTAATGCTGATCCTGATACTTTTTCTGAATGCATTGGGCGCCTTATAAAAACTCTCAAGAATAATGGGGTAATCTCTTTTGCTTCTATCGCTCCATTCGACGACGACCAAGTTCAGAGCCATTACAAGACCTTGTGGAAAAACTATGGTGACCTCATAGATTATGTGAACTTCCAATTCTATGCGTATGATGAGGGAACCACTGTATCTCAGTTCATGAATTACTTCAAGACTCAGAGCTCAAATTATGATGGTGGTAAGGTCCTAGTAAGCTTTATTAGTGATGGAAGTGGGGGTCTCTCGCCAAATGATGGGTTCTTTACAGCCTGCAGTAAACTGAAGAGTCAGAATGAACTTCATGGTATCTTTGTTTGGTCTGCAGATGACTCTAAAGCAAATGGTTTCCCCTATGAGAAGCGATCACAAGCACTTTTGGCAATTCCCCATTAGAATTATTATTTACACTAAACTTGTTCTGCTATTATATACAAATCAGGGGTGTGTCTTTATGTACTGTTTGTAATATCTACTATATAAATATACGTATTGAATTAAAGATATTGCCTGTTTTGTACAAGATTCTACAAATTCATCTTCACACAGGTAAAACTAAAAGCCTTCGAAGTTCCAAAATTTAGGGCGGGGCCTTGCACAGTAAAAAAAAAAAACCCATTGGAACAAACAAAAGATAAGAAGTTCCAAGATCAAAACGTATTTCTTATGTATAAAGATAAAAAGAAAGTAAACAAATTAAATCAATTCAACTGATTTACCCGGAAACAAGTCCAAGTCTCTTCAGGCTGGATCCTGTGAGGCGCAGCATCGCAAACTTATTGTGCTCTGTACTGGCTTTTCTCAATGGACTACTTAAAGCGAGTGTATTGGGCTTGAGGCTAAAGTCTCAACTTAGAAAGACCCTACTTTAACGCTCAGATTGGAATATTGGGCCTCCTTCCATATCCATTGGATGGGCAACATAGAAAAGATGGCAGGTCTTTTGGATCACTATTACTAAACCCACCACAGTTACCATTTTTTCTTTTTCTTTTTTTTTTATGTGAAAGCCACATGTCTGCCCATAGCCGAAGTTATGAGACTAATCTCGATCAAGGCTGATGAATTTTTCCAATTTGTCATATGAAAAAATTCATCAAAAACCAATTATCAATTTTCACGTTAGATTTATGAAAAAAAATTTATAAGATTCGTTTGTCAACGTAGCATTGTCTTACTTCTAAAGAAGTTTTTTTTCTATTGTTATTTTAGGTAGTAACAAAAAGATGACCCTAATATTTCCTAATAGCCTTCTTAGAAGCATCAAATATTTGATATTCAAAGTGAGTGTCTCTAATTCCAGCTTAATCTTATGGATTATAGAAGCATGTCCAGAGAAAAGAAATGAGAAGTTCATAGAGAACCCTATATTGCCACTTTGGACTATGGTATTGTATGGTTGGGATTTGGGATGTTGAATTAATGTACGTTTTTCTTATAGTGCAGTCCACAGAGGATTATGTTACTCGATGGTGGTTGATAGTAATGGAGAAAAGTTTGCCTGTGAATCATAAAAAGATTGATTTCCAAAATTAACGCAAATGCCTCAATGTCTGTCACATCATGGACGTGCAGCGAACCGAAGCTGCAAGTCTTCTTTTTGGCCCCTGCAAGTCTTCTCTCTGGCCCCTGCAACTCCAAGTGCATGTGATAGCAGGGTTTTACATTTGAGCATGTATAACGTGACTTAGAGGGTGTTTGGTTGGGGGTGACTTAGAGGGTGTTTGGTTGGGGGTGACTTAGGATTATTGGGGTTATATCATCTTATATTACTTGATCATCATGTTTAGTTGTCAAGTAATATAAAGCTCCGGTAATCTTCCAGTACTAATAATAGTTACTGTTGGTAACATTGGAAGTTTTTCTGATAACCTCTATTTTCTTAGGTATTATAAGATTACTAAGGTAATCTTACTTTTGTTACAATTTTATCTTTTATTAATAAAATTTTAGAATAATAATACCCTTATTTTTAAATTAATTTACATAAATCTAACTTTTATTATTTCACCCCAATTAATTAACTTTTTAGACAAAATTACCCTTGAATTTAAAATAAATTGTAGTCCACCCAAGCCACCACCTGCCGCCAACCGAACCACCACCGGCTGCCGTAGGAAGTGGCTGGAAGTCGCTTGGAGTCACCGTGAGTAGTTGAGAGACACCAAGAGGCTCCAATATGGTCGTTTATGGCCATATTGATGGTAAAAAATGGTCATATCTGAGTATATGGCCATTCTCGACCACATCCATGACTGTTAACGGCCATATCTCATCCAGATCTACTCCGATATGGCCATTTTTTGCCATTAATATGGCCAAAAACAGCCATATCGGAGCCTTTTAGTGACAGTAGACTACTCACAGTGACTCCATACGACTTTCGGTGACTTTCGACGACGGATGGCGGTGGCTTGGGGTGGTGGGGGTGATTTTGTTATAAATTAAAGTTTTATATAAACAGGGTTGTTTTAGCTAAATCTGAAATATTGGGAGGTTAAAAAAATTATTCAAAAATTAATAACAAAAATAATATTATATTAATATTAAAAAAAGAGGACAATTTAGTAGTTTAAATAACATACTCACCAACTTATTTCTCCCAACCAAACATATTAATATAGCATACCCACCAATTAACCAAACACATTTTCCTAAAGATTCTCAGTAATTTTCAAGGTAATCTAAACTTTTCAATAATCCAACATTCTCTGAACCAAATCCATCATAAAAAATTTCTATGGTGATCCATGCATGATTTGAAAATTGAACCTAACCAACTAATAATAAAATGATGGAAGTTGACCCGGACGAAAGGTTGAGGAACTGAAATGTTGAGTTCGTAGAATTAGAGACCCATTGATAATCATCATGATCAGTTAGCTTTACATGAAAATACCAGCCATGAAAGTGACTGTAATGCTTATTAATATTCCTTATCTTTAAAGGAGATTGCCACTCTTAATTTATGAATAACAAGTTCAAAACGTTACCTGGCCTTGTGGAAGAGTTATGGTCACCTAATAGATTATGTCAACTTCCAATTTTACGCGTATGATAAGGGACCACTGTATCATTCATGAATTACTTCATGACACAGACCTCTAACATAATGGTGGTAAGGTGTTGGTGAGCTTTTTGAGTGATGGCAGCCGGGGTTTATCACGATGATGGCTTCTTCACTGCCTGCAGCAGACTCAAGAGCCAAAAAAACTTCATGGTATCTTTATTTGGTGTGCAGATGACTCCAGGCAACGGCTTTCTCTATGGAAGCAATCACACATTACTTGCAAATCCGCATTAGTATCGTCGTTACATGATGAGATGGGTCTCGGCCTTGTGTCTATATACATGCATCAATCAGAGTGGCAAGTTCTCAATTACTCCTTAAATTATTGTGCTCAATTTTTACAAGTCTTGGAAGACTTTTGTATCAACAAGCAGTAAGTACCTTCTTAGTAATATGGTTGCCTTTCTAAATCAAATTCATTCCCGAATTTTCTCCTAATCACTTACAGAACCTGAAATTTTTTTAATAGCCGATTAATCGGCACCCTGTTCTCCTCAATATGAATCAGAAACTTCAAAGTGCTCTTTTTTGTACATTTATTAGTTGGGAGTAAAAAATAAATTTTTTGACTTACCCAGAAAGCTTTTGGGTTTCTTATGATAGACTTGAGCACAGACATAAAGATAGAAAGAAATTATAAAAAACAATCATTATTATAAAAGCAGTTATGCAAAGAGAGACATCGGATTCTGCAAGTAAAGAAACCAGTTGATCCATAAAATATAAGCCAGTTACTGTCATATCATGTTTCTATCAATCATCTGCTTACTAGCAAGCTCTGATTTTACAGATATTGTAATGTCATACTATTTTGTTAATACTTTTGCATAGCTGAAGAGAACTTTGATATATTTATTAGATCACTATATGGCATTATTATGTCTTTTGGACTGACACGCAAGGCCACTATATAGTAATCAACAAGGATTTACTGATAAAGACAAATTTTGGTGAATTGCCCTTCCGCAAATTGGCCCCAGGATTGCCGTCCTTTGCAGGAAGATAAAATCCTTTCCATCAAGTGGACACAGTTCATGAAAGCAAATAATATGACAATATTAGAGTATCAATTGAAAGTTAAAAAATACTTTTTTATTTTGTATGATATCATAATTTTGAATACTAATATCTCAGCTTCTTGTTTTTGCTGAAGATAAAGAATTGTCTTATATGAAAACATCAGAATAAGGGTATTCATTAGGTCTTTTATCTCTTACGGGGAATCATCAAATCTATGATGGATTTTCTTATTTTCCTTTTATACTAAGCAGAATATATAGATTGTTAAATTCAGATTATGGAGACGCACGGCACACTCAATTTTTTAATTTTTGAGTTTCCCCATCTTCAAATTTTTAAAACTATAATAACATCTAATTACACATTCCATTTCACCCAAAGCTACACCACAAATCTACTCTTCAATTGCAATGGAGCTGATCAAAGTTTTCTTCATTGCCCTCTCATTCTTCGTTCTTTTTCCCTGCAATGCATCAATCCAAGCCCCTAAGATTCAAACCTCTTCAGAGAATATATAGGAGCTGAATTTAACAATGTCAAATTCAGTGATGTTCCTATTAACTCAAACGTTGAATTCCACTTCATTCTCTCTTTTGCCATAGACTATGACACCTCGAGCTCTCCCTCACCCACCAATGGAAAATTCAACGTCTTCTGGGACTCAGAAATCTCAGCCCTTCACAAGTTCTCCATCAAAAGTCAGCATTCAAATGTCAAAGTTGCAGTGAGCCTTGGAGGGGACAGTGTGGCTAATGGCAACGCTTACTTCACCCTTCCTCAGTGGACTCTTGGGTTTCCATGCGTTTCTTCCCTCACAAGCATCATAACAATACAACTTGGACGGAATTGACATTGACTTGAACACTTTAATGCTGATCCTGATACTTTTTCTGAATGCATTGGGCCCTTACAAAACTCTCAAGAATAATGGGGTAATCTCTTTTGTTCTATCGCTCCATTCGACGACGACCAAGTTCAGAGCCATTACAACCTTGTGGAAAAACTATGGTGACCTCATAGATTATGTGAACTTCCAATTCTTGCTATGATGAGGGAACCACTGTATCTCAGTTCATGAATTACTTCAAGACTCAGAGCTCAAATTATTAGGTGGTAAGGTCCTAGTAAGCTTATTAGTGATGGAAGTGGGGGTCTCTCGCCAAATGATGGGTTACAGCCTGCAGTAAACTGAAGAGTCAGAATGAACTTCATGGTATCTTTGTTTGGTCTGCAGATGACTCTAAAGCAAATGTTTCCCCTATGAGAAGCGATCACAAGCACTTTTGGCAATTCCCCATTAGAATTATTATTTACACTAAACTTGTTCTGCTATTATATACAAATCAGGGGTGTGTCTTTATGTACTGTTTGTAGATAACGTGCGGGTAAGCAGGTAGCTGTTTGTCTGGGAACAACAAAGGGAATCATCAATTTACTTCTTTCAGTCTTTGTTTGTTGAATGGTAGGTCAATTCTGGAATTTCTGTTGCATGTGCAGTAGCATCTGTTAGACGAACTAGGTATAAATCTACTTGTCATATATGTATATATATATATATATATATATAGAATGAATCACACTGATTTTTAAAGCAAAATGCTCCTATATACCACTGACTGCAACATGAAAGCTTCTTGCCTTTCAGGTTGAGTAGCAGTTTCTTTATCCAGCTCCAAAACTAGACAAGAGGTTTTTGAGTATATTTATTTAGGCATGTTTCTTGGAACATCAGAAACAAAAGATTATATTGTTCTAAGTAATGAACAATGAGCATTGATAATTTAACCATGCATTCATCTATAATAAACGATGTTCTGAAGATTAGATAGCCAGAGGAAGCTGAATTGGATTTCATTTGGCGGCTACAAATTCATAAAATAGAATTTTGTAACACTCATTTGGCCACAATCTTCATTCCCTGTTTTTGGAAGAATGATATACAGGAAGTTGCATCTTAGGGATGTACCAAAGGTGATAGTCACAGTTAACAAAAATAACTTATTCAAACCAAATAATTATTACTTGCTTATCTTCAATGATTTAAATCATTTAGTTTTAGCTGTTTCATACTTTCACTGCAGCTGCCAGTTCATAACTTATGTGGGAGCACATTGGTACTGAACATGACTTAATCATGTTCTATGATTTGCCCGTAAAATCGAAACTTGAATTCCACTTCATTCTAGGCTTTGCAGCTGACTATACTAGCGAAAATCATCCTTCACCAACTAACTATACATTAATTTGATGAAACTCATCAAGCTTGATTCTAACATGTGAAGGCTAACTGGTGACAGATATTTCTTCTTGCAAAGGAACATATCCTGGTTAAGGATCAGCTATAACAAGCAGACAATTAATAGGTAATGGGCCACAAAAAAGCATCAACACTAGACCAGCCGCGTAAGCAGCTGAAAGATGCTGTCCTCATTCCCTATCACCGTCCTCTGTTGTTACAATCTCCCAGCACAATATGCTCTACGAGGTTTCATTACTGGTGTCACTATAATAAGAATAGTGGAAGCAAACCAAATTGATCCTCTTTCTATGATACATTGAATCTGAAGTCAATAATATCAAAATTTTCTTATGTGCCTTTGGGCCATAAGCAGAAGTCCACTCCATTTTTAGCGTTTGCGGTTGAATAGAAAAATACCTCATCATCATCTTACATTTAAGGGAGAAAAAGTTGCAAAGTCAAACAACTATATATCAAGGTGATTCAACGCCAACCACCCCAAATACATCAACTATAAATTACGTATCTTTGATAAACAATTCCTGTTGGTTATAAGATATAATTGACAGTCAAACTGGTCCTCCATCTCCTGCCATAGATGACAAAGAAAGTTACATATATTAAGTTCTCTCTCTTTTCCTGGAAGGCTCGAATAACATCATTATGTCTTTAAAGCAACTTTGACTAACAGATAATATTCGTATGGCACTATCAAGTAATCTTTATATAATGGTTTCCACAATCCTTTGCCACAAATACCGGAATATCTTATCAGATAAAGAAATTGGAGCAAAAAGATTAGGTTGGCCTTTGACAAAGACCCAATTAGCTCCACTGAATATTTTTTTCAGTCCATAGAGGCGGCTTAATTATAGTAGACTTGTTGGAAATATTATACAAAAAATCTTTACCAAGTCAACTGTCTGAATTTTCATTTTTACCATAAGAATGGAGCTTGAGTGGTCTTCTATGGAAATACATATATATAAATATATATAGCAGCAACACAAAAGCATATACAATTTCCAAATCGAAACACTTCATTAGCAATGGAACTCTTGAAGCTTTTGATCACCCTTTTCATTCTACAAGCTTTTCTCCCCACCACTACATTGATACAAGCAGCTCCTACAAACTCAAATCTCTTCAGAGAATATATCGGAGCAATGTTCAAGAGTGTCAGATTCACTGATGTTCCTATTAACCCAGATGTTGAACTCCACTTTATTCTCTCTTTTGCCATAGACTATGACACCTCAAGTTCTCCCTCTCCCACCAATGGAAAATTCAACATCTTTTGGGACTCCGCCAATCTCAGTCCCTCCGAAGTTTCTTCCATCAAGAGACGCCATTCGAATGTTAAAGTAGCCTTGAGCCTAGGCGGGGATACGGTGGCAAGTCGTTTTGCTTACTTTAGTCCTTCTTCAGTAGACTCATGGGTATCAAATGCTGTTTCTTCTCTAACACGAATCATCAAGGAGTATAATTTGGATGGAATTGATATTGATTACGAGCACTTTCATGGTGATCCTCATACCTTTTCTGAATGCATTGGACGGCTTATATCTACCCTCAAAAGAAATAAAGTTATCTCATTTGCCTCAATTGCTCCATATGATGATGAAGAAGTTCAAAAACGTTACCTGGCCTTGTGGAAGAGTTATGGTCACCTAATAGATTATGTCAACTTCCAATTTTACGCGTATGATAAAGGGACCACTGTATCTCAGTTCATGAATTACTTCATGACACAGACCTCTAACTATAATGGTGGTAAGGTGTTGGTGAGCTTTTTGAGTGATGGCAGCCGGGGTTTATCACCAGATGATGGCTTCTTCACTGCCTGCAGCAGACTCAAGAGCCAGAAAAAACTTCATGGTATCTTTATTTGGTGTGCAGATGACTCCAAGGCAAACGGCTTTCTCTATGAGAAGCAATCACAAGCATTACTTGCAAATCCGCATTAGTATCGTCGTTACATGATGAGATGGTGTCCTTATATCTTGGGAACACCACATCATTGTGTCGTATGATACATGCATCAATCAGAGTGGCAAGTTCTCAATTACTCCTTAAATTATTGTGCTCAAAATTTTTACAAAGTCTTGGAAGACTTTTGTATCAACAAGCAATAAATACCTTCTTAGTAATATGGTTGCCTTTCTAAATCAAATTCATTCCCGAATTTTCTCCTAATCACTTACAGAACCTGAAATTTTTTTAATAGCCGATTAATCGGCACCCTGTTCTCCTCAATATGAATCAGAAACTTCAAAGTGCTCATTTTTTAAAAAATTTAATAAATAGGAGTAAAAAATAAATTTTTTTGACTTACCCAGAAAGCTTTTGGGTTTCTTATGATAAGACTTGAGCACAGACATAACAGATAGAAAGAAAATTATAAAAAACAATCATTATTTATAAAAGCAAGTTATGCAAAGAGAGACATCGGATTCTGCAAGTAAAGAAACCAGTTGATCCATAAAATATAAGCCAGTTACTGTCATATCATGTTTCTATCAATCATCTGCTTACTAGCAAGCTCTGATTTTACAGATATTGTAAATGTCATACTATTTTGTTAATTACTTTTGCATAGCTGAAGAAGAACTTTGATACATATTATTTAGATCACTATTATGGCATTATTATGTCTTTTGGACTGACACGCAAGGCCACTATATAGTAATCAACAAGAGATTACTGATAAAGACAAATATTTGGTGAATTGCCCTCATCGCAAATTGGCCCCAGGATTGCCGTCCTTTGCAGGAAGATAAAATCCTTTCCATCAAGTGGACACAGTTCATGAAAGCAAATAATATGACAATATTAGAGTATCAATTGAAAGGTTAAAAAAATACTTTTTTAATTTTGTATGATATCATAATTTTCGAATACTAATATCTCAGCTTCTTGTTATTTGCTGAAGATAAAAGAATTGTCTTATATGAAAACATCAGAATAAGGGTATTCATTAGGTCTTTTATCTCTTACGGGGAATCATCAAATCTATGATGGATTTTCTTATTTTCCTTTTACTTAACTAAGCAGAATATATAAGATTGTTAAATTCAGAATTATGGAGACGGCACGGCACACTCAATTTTTTAATTTTTGAGTTTCCCCATCTTCAAATTTTGTAAACTATATAATAACATCTAATTACACATTCCATTTCACCCAAAGGCTACACCACAAATCTACTCTTCAATTGCAATGGAGCTGATCAAAGTTTTCTTCATTGCCCTTCTCATTCTTCAAGTTCTTTTTCCCTGCAATGCATCAATCCAAGCCCCTAAGAATTCAAACCTCTTCAGAGAATATATAGGAGCTGAATTTAACAATGTCAAATTCAGTGATGTTCCTATTAACTCAAACGTTGAATTCCACTTCATTCTCTCTTTTGCCATAGACTATGACACCTCGAGCTCTCCCTCACCCACCAATGGAAAATTCAACGTCTTCTGGGACTCAGATAATCTCAGCCCTTCACAAGTTTCTTCCATCAAAAGTCAGCATTCAAATGTCAAAGTTGCAGTGAGCCTTGGAGGGGACAGTGTGGCTAATGGCAACGCTTACTTCAACCCTTCCTCAGTGGACTCTTGGGTTTCCAATGCCGTTTCTTCCCTCACAAGCATCATAAAACAATACAACTTGGACGGAATTGACATTGACTATGAACACTTTAATGCTGATCCTGATACTTTTTCTGAATGCATTGGGCGCCTTATAAAAACTCTCAAGAATAATGGGGTAATCTCTTTTGCTTCTATCGCTCCATTCGACGACGACCAAGTTCAGAGCCATTACAAGACCTTGTGGAAAAACTATGGTGACCTCATAGATTATGTGAACTTCCAATTCTATGCGTATGATGAGGGAACCACTGTATCTCAGTTCATGAATTACTTCAAGACTCAGAGCTCAAATTATGATGGTGGTAAGGTCCTAGTAAGCTTTATTAGTGATGGAAGTGGGGGTCTCTCGCCAAATGATGGGTTCTTTACAGCCTGCAGTAAACTGAAGAGTCAGAATGAACTTCATGGTATCTTTGTTTGGTCTGCAGATGACTCTAAAGCAAATGGTTTCCCCTATGAGAAGCGATCACAAGCACTTTTGGCAATTCCCCATTAGAATTATTATTTACACTAAACTTGTTCTGCTATTATATACAAATCAGGGGTGTGTCTTTATGTACTGTTTGTAATATCTACTATATAAATATACGTATTGAATTAAAGATATTGCCTGTTTTGTACAAGATTCCACAAATTCATCTTCACACAGGTAAAACTAAAAGCCTTCGAAGTTCCAAAATTTAGGGCGGGGCCTTGCACAGTAAAAAAAAAAAACCCATTGGAACAAACAAAAGATAAGAAGTTCCAAGATCAAAACGTATTTCTTATGTATAAAGATAAAAAGAAAGTAAACAAATTAAATCAATTCAACTGATTTACCCGGAAACAAGTCCAAGTCTCTTCAGGCTGGATCCTGTGAGGCGCAGCATCGCAAACTTATTGTGCTCTGTACTGGCTTTTCTCAATGGACTACTTAAAGCGAGTGTATTGGGCTTGAGGCTAAAGTCTCAACTTAGAAAGACCCTACTTTAACGCTCAGATTGGAATATTGGGCCTCCTTCCATATCCATTGGATGGGCAACATAGAAAAGATGGCAGGTCTTTTGGGTCCCCATTACTAAACCCACCACAGTTACTTTTTTTTTTTTTTTTTTTTTTTTTATCTGAAAGTCTCAAGCCCCCCCATAGTTGAAGATATGAGACTAATCCCGATCGGGGTTCGGATAAGTACCCCTAGCCACAAGATACTTTCAATACAGTTCAAACCCTTGACATTGCAGGTAAAGTTCACTCCACTTAGAGCCTAGTTACCAATTGGGTCACACCTCATGGTTAAACCCACCACAATTACTTTTAACAATAAATATAATCTGACACACGAATCTCACAAAACCATTGTGACAACTGATAATTAGTTTTTGATGAATTTTTCCAATTTATCAGGTGGAAAAATTTATCAGAAACCAATTATTAGTTGTCACGTTAGATTTGTAAGATTCGTTTGTTAACATAGTATTGTCCTACCTCTAAAGAAGCGTTATTTCTATTGCTATTTTAGGTAGCAACAAAAAGATGACCCTGATATTTCCTAATAGCCTTCTTAGAAGCATCAAATATTTGGTATTCAAAGTGACTGTCTCTAATTCCAGCTTAATGTTATGGATTATAGAAGCATATCCAGAGAAAAGAAATGAGAAGTTCATAGAGGACCCTATATTGCCACTTTGGACTATGGTATTGTATGGTTGGGATTTGGGATGTTGAATTAATGTACGTTTTTCTTATAGTGCAGTCCACAGAGGATTATGTTACTCGATGGTGGTTGATGGTAACGGAGAAAAGTTTGCCTGTGAATCATAAAAAAGATTGATTTCCAAAATTAACGCAAACGCCTCAGTGTCTGTCACATCATGGACGTGCAGCGAACCGAAGCTGCAAGTCTTCTCTCTGGCCCCTGCAACTCCAAGTGCAAGTGATAGCAGGGTTTTACATTTGAGCATGTATGATGTGACTAAGGGGCGTTTGGTTGGGAGTTAGGATTATTAGTGTTATATCATCTTATATTACGTTATTATCACGTTTAGTTGTCAAGTAATATAAAACTCCGGTAATCTTTTAATACTAATAATAGTTATAGTTGGTAATATTAGAAGTTTTTCTGATAATCTCTATTTTCTTAGATATTATAAGATTACCAAGGTAATCTTATTTTTTTTTTTAATTGTATCCGTCATTAATAAAATTCTAGGACAAAAATACCCTTATTTTTAAATTAATTTACATGAATCTGACTTTTATTCTTTTACCCCAATTAATTAACTTTTTGGACAAAATTACCCTTGAATTTAAAACAAATTGCAGTCCACCTAAGCCACCACCTGCCGCCAACCAAACCACCACCGGCTGCAGTAGGAAGTGGCTGTAAGTCGCTTGGAGCCACCGTGAGTAGTTGAGAGACACCAGGAGACTCCGATATGGCCGTTTCTGGCCATATTGATGGTAAAAAATGATCAGATCTATTATGACCATTTCTGACCAGATCCATGGCTGTTAACGGCCAGATCTCATCCAGATCTACTCTGATATGACCATTTTTTGGCCAAAAACAGCCATATCAGAGCCTCTCGGTGACGGTGGACTACTCACGATGACTTTCGGTGGTAGGCAATGGCTTGGGGTGGTGGGGGTGATTTTGTTATAAATTAAAGTTTTATATAAGCGGGGGTGTTTTAGCTAAATCTGAAATATTGGGGGTTAAAGAAACTATTCAAAAATTAATAATAAAAATAATATTATATTAATATTAAAAAAGATGACAATTTAGTAATTTAAATAACATACCCATCAACTAACCAAACACATTTTCCTAAAGATTCTCAGTAATTTTTAAGGTAATCTAACATTTCAATAATCCAATATTCCCTGAACCAAATATACCCTAAAGAATTTCCATGGTGATCCATGCATGATTTGAAAATTAAACCTAACCAACTAACAACAAAATGATGGAAGTTGACCCGGACGAAAGGTTGAGGAACTGAAATGTTGAATTCGTAGAATTAGAGACCCATTGATAATCATCATGATCAGTTGCTTCTTTTTCTACGCTATAGTTAGCTTTACATGAAAATACCAGCCATGAAAGTGACTGTAATGCTTATTAATATTCCTTATCTTTAAAGGAGATTGCCACTCTTAGTTTCTTCGCTTTTTATCAACTCCCCCACAAAGTTTTAGATAAAAACTTGAAGGCTATTATTATTAGTTGAGAAATAACCATATATATTGATGTGGGAATTCATCCACAAGAGTCAAGTTTTCACGTGCTATACTACAGGCTTCTAGGTCAAATACCAAACCAGCTCTCATATTTCAGATTTCCTGATATGTAGCGTAAACATTAAGCACACACACAGAGGGATTCTTAGTAATAATAATAGCTGAAAAAAAAGAAAGAAATTCACAACGATCGAAGATCTTTAATCTATATATAGAACAATGCATGCATGTGTAGAAGATTTCCAAACTCGCGGCGGCTGAGCAGGTTTCAACCATTCATTAATTATAAAATCTAGGAGCTGGAAATTAAACCGCCTTATAATAACAGTGAAGAAGAAAATACTGTACTTTAAAACTTCAACTTATAATAAACTAGAATAAAGAAGTGCAGTACGAGAACTACATTTAACTAACTGAAAAAAATCAGAAACTTCTCCGTTGACTATCCAAAATCCGAATTAAGGGGAATATTAAAGCATCGAGGACTAACCCATTTGACCACAAATTGAAAGCCACTTTGATAATAAGTAATATCTCATTGTTAAGGTTTGCTTTAATGACACTTTTTCACCTAAAAAGATTTAAAATACTATTTTTGTACCGAAAATAAATACTCTGTTACCACCCAGAGCTGATTTTGGCCTATTCCAGAGGCGAAAATTTTCTCTATTACCAACATTTAAATCTCCAATCTCCTCTCTATAAAAACTTTTTTACTTAGACACTTAATTTTTTGTTGATTGTCGGCCATCACAAATCTAGTGTTTCTTGTTGTTAACTGATTTTCAACTAATTCTGGTGATAAATATTCAATTGGTCACCACCATTCAATCTATCGCCCTCCACTCTATAAAAACCCTATTACCCTAGCTCCTGGTAACTCGCCGAACGCCGGTTGAGAAAGTGAAATATATTTTGAGTGTTAACGAAATATAAATGTTGGATGAGAAAGTAGTATTTCAAAACTTTTTGGGTAAGAAAGTGTGTTTAAGGCAAACCTTGGGTGGGAAAAATATTGTTTACTCTAATAAAACTATGTTATTGCAAATATACTACATCCAATATGATAAGCATGAGGTTGAGAACACATTAACCACATGGACATGGTGACTGAATCACTCAATTTCTAGTGGGGAAACTGTGTCTTCTAGTCGGCCCCATTTGACAAGGCCACAAGGATATATAAAATAAAAATAATGTTGGGTCTTCATTATCTTTATTGTTCATTAAAATCAACTTTTCACCGGAAGAAAGAAACCCCACCTTCAATTTTTCCATGTTCTTCCAGGAAAGAGGCCATCATTGTTCTGTATAGGATATTGTAGGCTTGCATTATTGATTATTCTGCGTAGCCGATAACATTTTATAGATATGCTCATCAAGATGCCTTTCTTTTATTTCATTCAGAAGTCAGATATAAAACAAAGAAAGAAAAGGAAACATACTCAAAACTCTTTCATTTGTGTATATATAGTGCAATTTCATTAGTATAAAATACTCAAGGAAAAAATTGCATTAAAAAATAGGGAAAAAGGTGTCAAAAGTACTAAAGTTCCTAGAAAATTCAACCCATTAACTCTAACATCATGTTTAAATATTTAACCCAAAATTAACATGCATATAACAACATAATTGTTTTATCTAATAATATTAAAGATGTCAAAGAACTCTTATAATTAACACATTTGAATTTTAGATTAATTTCAGTAACCAGAACATATAAATAATGGACAATACTATACTTACAACTAGGGATGAAAAGCAAGTTGAGCAGTTCGCAAGCGACTCGAGCTCGGCTCATGAAAAACTCAATCAAGTTCGAGCTCGAGCTCAAGTGGCTCATTTAAGGGGTCAAACTAAGTTTGATCAAAGCGAAGCTTGACTCGATAGGCTCGCAAGCCTCATCGCACTCAGAGGGCAAAATTGCAAGTATTGTAACTTTTTTTTATTTTCAAGTTTTTAAAATAACAAACAACCCTCTTCTCACAATAAACTCGCAAGATTACTCGAGGTCAAACACGAGCTCGAGTACCCATCCATACTCACAAGCTCGAGCTTGAGCCCAAGTATTCAAGCTCGAACAAGCTCAGATAGAATTCAAACTCGATATTGTTCATCACGAACCGAGCTCGAGTGTCCAGATACTCAATTCGTATACACCCTTACTTACAACTCAATCTCACAAATTTTTTTATACAATCCCAACGTTCAGCTCACAAATGGGTCCCTCATGCTTGATTGCGAGCTGATTACCAATTATGAACTATCACATCAAAGTTGTGAGAGAAAATTTATAAGATTGAATTGCAAACTGCTCTTTATCGATAAATAATTCCTCTATGTAAAAGAGACTTGTATGCATGACACGTGTGCGTATTTTGTTATAAAGTAAACAATTAAAAAGCAGAAGAAAATGAAGTGCGCCGTGAGAATAGATACATCAAGTTGGGGAATGAACACTATTAACATTATGTGGGTAGGACTTAGGAGGATAGGCAAATATTATGGAGGTGATTTGAGTGGCCAAGTAAGTGAGGAAATTGCTAGCTTGGTGCCAAACTACATTATACAATCTGGTTCCTCATTGGCTTATCTCGACTTCTACAGTTCTACCTAGTTATTCACCAACAGAACATCGAAACGTCGAGGCCCCTCTTAGTTATATAGTTTCAAGGTGCAGCAGTGGTACTGCGTATAAAAAGTCTTCATCGCTATCAATTCAATTCTCTAAATTCTCATCCATCACTTTCAATGAGAGAGAGAGAGATACCTCTTTTGAAGTGATATGCATAGATGATTCTAAGGGTCCTACTGAGAAGAGCTCCTGTATAAGGCCCCCCATCTCTTCTTGATTCATATATGCTATCAAGTTTCAGCCGTATTTCAAACTTTTAATCATAATAGGAATCAGGTAACTTGAGTCGATTAATAAGCATATATATATATTGGTGGATCTGTTGGGTTTCAAGTTAATTGGTTCAAATCAGAACTACTTGTGCTGCAAATTTCAAAGGCCAGGCATTTAGTTTTATTTGTGGTGTTCGCTGCATGATATGCATGGTGCATAAACCTTCACCAAATTAAGCCTTCTAGGCCAAAAAAAAAAAGAAAAAAGAATCTTATAAAAGAGTCAATATTTCTTACATTGCATAGATTGATAAATGTCCTCATGACTTTAACTCTTTATGAAATTAAAATTACATATACTAATTAGGTTCCCAACAACAAAAGTACAAGAAAAGATTTTAAAATTAATTTGATTAACAAAACAAATGGAAACATGTTATAATTAGGTGGAGAGAATCCAAAAATGGCATGCATGTTATCCTAATTATATAAGATTATGTTAAGATAGGGTAAGATCTACTTCTAAATCTTTCCTAACTAGAAGCGAATTATCTATAATCTAATCATGATTATGTCTTAATCATGGTTGTCGATCATAATAAAAAAACCTATATGTATTATAAATGATTGAAAGTATTATGCTCCTCACATGGGATTGAGTTGAATAATGGTTTCTCTCACTCTCTTGTGGAAATGACTACTGATATGTATCTATATATAAGTGGTGGGGACTTATCTTTTTTCTGTTGTCAAATTGCAAGTTGGGTATGATCGATTTTTTTTATCAATTTGGGAACAGTATTTTAGCTTAAAACTTCTAAGAGAAAAGTGCCTACTCTTGCTCTAGCCTCTAGCAACTTCATTGTTTGACCGAATTTTCTTAATCAATTGGTTCACAAAATCATCAAATTATAAAATAGTTTCTCTCTGGGTAGCCTTGTCTCCAAAGTTGAGATTTTTTCTAGAAATCTCTTACTTTTCTGTCTGGTAATGGGATTTATATAAATCAACCAGCTCTACAGCCTAACAAAACCAACTTAATTAATAAGCCTTTATTATGAAGTAAACATTTCCAAGATAAGTTTTTCAAGATTTTGTGTCAAATATCTATGCAGTTAAATTATTTTTCTTTTAATACTAAATAACTATTTTTTTAATTACCAATCATTCAATTTTTCATTAATTTGACTAGAGAATGTGTACAAAAACTTGGGTTTTGGCGGGTGGATTTTCAACTTTCGATCACTTCATGAGTCATGATCGAGTCATACCACACTTTCAAATATATATGAAGTCCCCAGTCATAAAATTCTCACATTAATGGAGGTAGCAAGAATAAGGTCATATTAAATTCTTGGAACATCGTAATTGAGGAGAAGTGACAAATCTAGAATAATATAATAATGATCATTGAATCATGATGAATTGATGATAACAATACAAAAAAGAAATGCTAGAGATTGTCATATATGTACGATATTATTGTCAAGCAGTAGTAGAATGTTTCTCCATGTAATTGAAGTGAAATGTTAGGTCATTTCAAGCACAAAGTCTATGAACATCTTCATAACACAATTAATTAGCACTTAATTATACTGTTCATAATCATATCCTAATACTATAATTAAATGTCTTTATTTATTAATAATCATCTCAATAGTTAATACCCTTTAGGCCTTTTACATATGTGTATACCATATAATGAAATGTTATAAATAGATCGACTTATTAAAGTCTTCTATTTATAAAAGTTTCTTAATAAATACTCCCCAAAGGTAACCCTAGTTTCTTAGTTGCCTTCTTTAAAAAAAAAAAAGAGAAAAACTATAAAATTATGCATGCAATGTTATAATAAATCATGTTATTTAAGCCCTCATATAATAAATTTAACTACTTTATATATCTAAATATATATAATTAGTTAAGTGATGTAAATATATATGATAAAATATCTAAATTATTATTTATTCTACTAATTTATTCTTTAAAAAAATAATCAAATTACAATCTCTCTTTTAATTATTCTACTAACTTATTGCGAGGTTTTTAAATAAAATTATTTATTAAGTATTTAGCCATTAAACATCTCATTCTTTGTTTTTTTTTTTAATATTTTTTTTTTTGTGGTGATCAAAGTTGTCCGATCGAGCTTCCTTGTTTGTTCAACTAAAATCATAAAACTAATTTAAAATCATTTAAAGAAAAAAAAAAGTTGAAAGAGCAGTATGAAGTAAGACAAGTCAACGACCTTTTTCTAACTAGATGACATCATCTTCCACGTCCTCACCCAGTTCTTCTCCTTCTATGCTCATAAATACAGAGTACTCTTCACATTAACTCTCCAATCTTTTCAAATTTCACTCCCAACCAAAAAAAAAAATAATAATAATAATACTTCCCTACTCGCCATGTACACTTTTCCACGCGCCTCCGATATCAATGGCCCAAACTCGTCCTCTATGTCATTCGACGACCCGTCTCATTTTCCGCCAGCCCTGTTGCCACCACCCCATTTACTTGACCATGTGACTGCTTGTACTCATGAGCTCGACTCGATGATGGGTCACAGCCACAGCAGCAGCACGTCTAGTGGCTGCAGTAGCTATAGTTCTCCCAGCTACGGGACGACGAGTCAGATGCAGAGGAGTATTAGCAGTCACTCGCTTCAGAAGAATAACAATTGTATTCATTCTCTTTTCATGTCACCAAACGATCAGTTTGTGGATATGGACACCAGTCCAGTTAGAAGGGTTTTCAGCACCGGTGATTTGCATGTAAGCTTTATTAATACTGAAAATGACTTAAAAAATATATGTTCACATTCATCATATAGAGTGATTTTTTCTCACGTTTTTATTATTATTATTTTTTTCTTTTTGGTGGGTTTTAGAGGATTCATACGGGGCAACAAGGTCACAGGTCAGCGAGTCCATTGATTAGTGAGAGTTGTGCGATCATTGAAGGGATGAACAGAGCTTGTCGATATAGTCCGGAGGAGAAAAAGGAGAGAATTGAGAGATATAGAACAAAGAGAACTCAGAGGAACTTCAACAAGAAAATCAAGGTCTTAAATTTTGTTTATTAAAATGCTAATTTTCGGATTAATACTTGATTACATTAGCATAAAGATTTGACAAAATTAACGATTTGTGACCAAGTGCTATAAACTACTAATTACATGCATGATAGGGAATATAAAGCACATTTGATAACTAGGAAACAATAGTATCAAGTCTTTGCATCTTCTCTTGGAAATTAACTATAAGCCGCAAACTCTCTGTGTGCTTTTATATGTGTCAAATCAATATTTGTGGCTGCGATTAGAAGGTATAACCATTAACCCCACTATTCGAATGAGACAAGTAAGAATGAAAGCCAAAGCCACACGTCGTCAAACTTTTACTGGTTGTGCGATATCATTCAATGTAGATGAAATGACAGCCACTACACTAGTCAGTATTATGTTGTCTTTTCAAGTTTCGCTTATTGGTAACTAGCTAGCCGTATAGTTTTCTTTTGTCTTTGATTGTTCATAAAGCTCCACTTATTCTTTCTAATATATCATCATAACATGCTGCTGATTGATTTCTCTAGCTACTACGGCGTGGACAGTGCTCAGATCATAAGTATAGTCTAATCAAATTTTTTGTTATTAATTATTGTCATTTCGCATTAATTCCAATTGGAAATTGAATGTTTCCAAAACGTGAAGGGGACAATACAATTTGAAGGAAGTTTTTCTGATTCTGAGCATGCATATTGAAACAATATTATAGAATATATCGTGTCTTTGAATGCGCAGTACGCATGTAGGAAAACATTGGCAGATAGCAGGCCACGCATAAGAGGGAGGTTTGCAAGAAACGAAGAAATTGAGAAGAATCCTCAAGCTCAGTGGAGTCACATCAGTGGGGAGGAAGATGATGAAGAAGAAGAGAATTGGATCAATTATATTGATTCAGTTTCATCTGCAAATATATTTTAATTCTTAATATAAAAAAATATATATATATATATTGTGTGTATGCTGAACTGTTTAGTGTCATAGTGTGGCATTTTTAGCTAGCTAGGGTGCTTGTTTCTTTACAACTGTAATGCAATATTTTGTTTTAAGTGTTGTTTAGCTTAAAATAGCTGGCTACCTTATCCATCGATGTATATATAGTTGATTCCATGCATTATTCCTATTGTTACAATGTCGAATGGCAAAGATTTAACCATTTTTATCACTGGGGTTCTTCTTATTACTAGCCAATATTTTTCAAATACCAGAGTCCTTTCTAAACAGCATAAGAACTATAAAATATGAAACAACAATCACATAAAATATGTATATTAGCAAAGCAAAAACCTCAAAAATCCGTTTATATATGAATGTTATATTAAAGTGAACTCAGGAATTACTCGTTAATTAAACCGAAATTAAGAATGGTTTGAAGCACTGTAATATTGCAGAGATTCCAAGAAATAATAAGTTAAAAGGCCCTACAGCACTTGAAGAATAGAGTAAGTGCCATAAGGTGGAAAGCAATTAGGTTGCAATTAAAGTATTGCCTATTTTTACTGTTATAGCGTCAGAAAATTCCTCCACTTCTTTACCTTCTCACATATTTATTATACTATTCCTTCACTTTTTGTACTTCCCTGAATGCCTATTATGTGTCACTCAACTATTGGTAACTCAAGCGGTTTTTTTCTCCTAAGTTTCCTGTACATATATTGGGTTGCCTGGTGCTCCTTGGGTTGGCTGTCCATTCTTTAGTTATTTCCCAAGTTCGAATACTATACATAACTTGCATAATTGAGTCTGTCAGGGCAAGTTCTTGCTTGCTTCTATCTGGGGAAGGAAAAAACTGCTGTAATATTTTTGATTGATTAGTGTGCACTTGTTGTACGAAAGATTTTCTTCGAATAAAGAGAAAATCGTGATGCTGCTTGTTTTAAAAATGGAAATTGTACATTTAAAACTTTCTGTTATAATTTTTACGCAACAATTAGTTTGTAAATAGATAAATGAGACCCATCAAAGCAAACATGACCTATTTGATCAATGACGAATTATTAGTTAAGATTGTGAAAAAAAAAACTATAAGTATAAAATTATTCTTTAAAAATATCATGATACAAAGTCAAATAGTTCAATGGGTTTTATTAATGGTTATATGACAGGCAGAAAGAGACTACCATTTTATAGCCTTGAAAGCAGAGCTTGTGCGAAGTGGAGCCAGGCAGCCAGCGTTTAAATGAGAGATAGTTTAGTTGATTCATCGGAACAAGTTTCCAACATCAAAACTAACTTTACTTGCAGTATGTAATGAAGACACATTGAATCAAGATATGAGTACGTTACGTTGGTGAATATCTTTCTCATATTTAAATGAACATCAAAGAAGACAAAAATAACAAAAGTAAATTATCATTTTCACTACAATAATGCTACCATGCCAGTGTTTTACGTTTCTACAGTAGATTTTTGCTTTTCTATAGCCAAACTTTCTGTTGATAGGAGTCTAAGCCCGACATGAGAACGTACGTTACAAGTCTTGCTTAAAAGATACTCTCAAGATTTTCTTGTACTGAAATATCATTCTAAGATCTTGTGCAAAAGTCTCAAGATCAAAATTATAAAAATAAAAAACTACAAATAAATCGAGCCCCCTTGAACAGCAGAATGATTATCTTGCTTTTGTGATTTGTAATATATATTATATTGTTTATATCTTAGATTAATGTGTAGTACTGTTTGCATGGTATCTTTTAGAAGCTCTTTTAAAGTGTTACTTTGGCTTTACAAAGCCCCACCAGTGTTGTTAATTAATTTATCGATCAGACAACACCAAATTTGATAGTGGCTCTTTTTGTTAATGATAATTTAGCCGCTCATGTTACTTAATAATGATGATGAAATGAAACTGATGAATCTTTAACTTTATTCTTTAGTTAAAGGCTATGGCTCTTAAGCCAACAAATTAATTAACACCAAGAGGTGGGACGTGCGGCGAGGCTTATCTTTTGTCGGCCGGCGGTGGGTCTCCCACTATGGCGCCCTTCGCTTAGACCTCTCATCACCTATATCCTCCTATGCATTTGTAAATGCTAGGCTATAAGATCCCGTATCCGTATCAGCTTTTTCTCTCTTTTTTCACATGAAATGCCAATCCCCAGGTACCCTAATTAACTTTTTTAAAATCTTGGATGTCTGCTATCTATAAGTCTATAACCCATTTCTTACGTAAGTTATAACCAAATTGTGATGTTTTTGGACAAGAACAAAAGGGAGGAAGGGCTGCTAACTGCAAGTCCGCAACTACAACTAGATTTTCAAGACAATGAGCCGAATCCTATATGCAACCCCTAGTAGTTTGGAAAAGCTATCTATTGAATGATGGTGGGGGCGATTCATAAAATAAAATGGCATAAAGAGCCAACTTTGTCGCCATCATAATGACATTACTTTGATTAAACAACGCAAGTTTGAGAACAAATAAGAAACGGCAATAGCACATGCGAAGCAGTAAGTTGTAGGGCCATTAGTTTTATTCTATGATGGAGAAATGATAAATTACAAATAATGCTGTAAATTAATACACAAGTTCACACTGAATACTCCGATGACTCGATGAACCATCCCTGTTACACTTTAGCAGCAATTAAAAAGTGCACTGGAAAAAAGAAAAAAGGTGACCTGAAGCATCCAAACCTTTGCTTTATTAAACCGGTGAATCCCAAAACCTATTAATTTGGGAAAACATGAAGGTTGTAAATCTTTATACACTATAATGATAGATTGTCTGTGCTACAGAATCTGATGGCTACTAAAAGAGACTTAAGAATCTTAAGATCTATTACCAGCATAGCTCTTTGAAATCTTTTTAAGTTTGCTGGAATCAACCACATTGTAACAAAAATATACTAGACCACCTGAAAAGTTTTGACACCATCAGAAAAGAAAAATGATTGAAGATTTTATCTATAAGTGACCAAGCATTTCCATAAAAACTCTTGAATGTATTACTCAAGAAGTTCAAAGTTCAAATCCCTCCTCAATTACTATAGGATAGCCACTAAAACTCTATCTCAATCGATAATTACAAAATCTCGAGAGATTAGTTAAAATAAGCAGAAACTCGCCTAAACCCCCCATCCATCAAAAAAAATAAAAAAAGATGGAATGTTGCAAAATTTTAACAACAAAATTTCAACGTGTATTCCATAACTTTAAATTAACTATGACATTTCTCAAGATTAAAAGATCGAATATTGCAAAACTATCATGATTAAATATCCCTCTGTATCATTGTAAAACTTATGTAACAAATCAAATTAGGAACAGAGATATGTTGGATTTTAAAACTTCTTCGACAAAATTTCATCACCCTTCAATATGAAAGGTATGCACGTATACAACTAGGAAAACTTATTACAACTACTCTCGACTATTTTACATTTGCCGATCAATAACAATAATATAGTGAAATGTATTTTATAAGTTACGTCTTCTTGATTCTGTTCTTTAATCTGCGAGCTTTCTTCTTGAAAGATACAGGACTCAACAAACGCTTCAAAGGAAATAAAGGAGCTCGTTGACGCAGCCTTGGCTTTGATCTGATTTTCCCTGCATTAATCAAACAGAAGTTTTAGGCAGATCAAATTAAAAACTTCCAAGCTTGTTGAAATTGAACAAACTAAAAGTTGGACATGAGCTACAGAAAAAAAAAAAAAAAAAAAAATTGTTCATATGTTGGCTAGCTGGGGGAAAAGGGATGATTATGCTAGGTAAGGGAAAACTTAAAGCTTCTAGATCAGAAGAACTAATTATGACACATAATAAATATAGATCTAATAGTAGTTAAGTTAACATGATGATATAAATCAACCAATCACCAATTAACAAGTACCTGATACAAATTGAGCCAACGTTGTACTAACTTCACTAACAGCTTCTCCATGATTATGCTCTTCCATCTTCACATCCTCCACGGCCTCATAATTTGTAACGGAATGGTCATCTTTAACTCCAATGTCATTACAAGAATCCATGAAAAGAGTTTGATCAGCAACAATTCCAACTGCAGGTTCCCTGATTTGTTCTCCATGACTCAGATCTTCCATTGTGAACTCATCCTGGGCCATATGATTTTCAACTGCAAAGTCATCTTTAATTGTGATCTCACCGGAAGACTCCGGAACCAGGATCTGATCAACAAGAAGTCCATGGTCTCCAGTTTCCCTTGGTTTATCTCCGCCCTGTTGTTCTTCCATTGTCACTTTCTCCAGGTTCGCATGACTCAAAACTGAAGAGTCATCTTTAACTTTTATCTCAATAGAGGACTCCTAAAACAGATTTTGATCAGAGGCAACTTGATCATCTACAGGTTCCCTGAAATGTTCTGTTTCAGTGACATTTTCTAGCAAAGACTCATCATTTAATGCCGAAGATGTATCTTCTTGAGCTTTTATATCTATCTCCATTCTAACTTCACCACTTGAGCCTTTTTGAGAACCTAATTGTGCATCAGAATGTTCTACACTTTTAGATTCTTCATTTTGACCAGCAGGAAAATCAAATGCATTACAAGGAGGGACACCCTCTAAATTAGACACAGCATCTAGCTCAACACATCTAGTCAAGGTCTGACATTTCAAGATTTCTTTTGATAAGACAACATCCACTTCATGACTAGGGATGCAATTTTGTGAATATTGATTGTACCTTTCTGTATTGTTTGCTGCAAATAGTTCATTTGACATATCTGGATTATTCAATTCCTCCATAGTGGTGGTTGTTCGAGTCCCAATATCCTCAGAACTGATTACCATTTCTGCAAAATCACTAGGTAAACCTAACTTCTGTGCTTCTTCACAGCCAAAAGACTGGGGTTTTGGTGGAGCATTATCTAATGAAGCCTGGTCAGTTTCAGGAAGAAGATTAAGCCTTGTCTGCTGTTCAGACACTCCACCAGTTGCAACAGATGTCTCAACTGTCTCAGTAGCGGATAAAATCTCTTTACCACTATCCTTATCCCGTGAATGGGATACAGCCTGAGTTCCAAACATCAAATCCTTTACTTGAAAACCCTGGGATGGCATGCTACTCATAACTGAAGCAAAATCAATGGCTTTCACAGTTTTGGATTCTTTACTTGAGGCAGTGAAAGATTTTGCCAATTCATCTAGCTGCAAATCACCTTCACCACTAGAGATAGGATCCCATTTAAGCCAGTCCCCAGACCAAGGTTCCTTGGAGTCAGTTCGCTCACCAGATGATAGTGCTTCAACTCGAATAGTCTCCTTGAAAAAGTGTTTTTTCCTTATGGCATTAGTTAAAAGAGTCCTGCAAAATATTAGATAACAAATTTCCCAATAAGAAAAATAAACATATGTCTTGTGATGACAAGGTTTATGCAAGTTGTCGTACCTACAATTTTTGGAAACTGCTGCTTTAGCTCGTTCAACAGAAAGCCCAAGCAAAGACGATAAATTTGCCACATCGTATGGTCCCCTAAGTTCATTAACAGAAGGGGCACCACTTGAGAAGATGAGATTCTTTCCTCGAGTCCAATCCACCAGTAACTAGAGACAGCTTATATAGCTCAGAATAAGTTTATACACAACATTATCAAATCCCATTTTTATTAGAACTTTGCATTCAATAATGTTTGTGTTCATATGACGTGATTTTGGCACAATTTATTTACACCTATTTAGTCCAAACCTTATTCAATATCTTCTTTTAGATAATACTCTAATTATAAGGCTTTCAATTAAAAATTCGATATGAAAATATATAAAAAAAAAAAAGAAACTCTCACCTTAGCATTCGATATCATTTGTCTCCTTAATTGAAGGTCAAGGATAAGATCAGAGTACGTGAGTTCGAAATAAACTCCACGCTGTTTATCAAAACGACAGAAACCATTCAGCAAAAGTGTAAAACACACAGACACACACGGCAAAGCAAAAAACAAAACAATAATAATAATGATAATCATCAAGTAACGCATAAAACCTCGATAGCAGCCTTAACCATAGGCTGCTTCAATCTGAACAGCATTCTCTCCGCGAAATTAATCGAAATTATATCCACCTGCATCAATTTTAATAAAAAATATGAATGTCAACATATAATAAGTAATAATAAAATGAGAAATCGGCATACCTCAGCCTTCTCACACGCATGATCAAACGCGTTCTGATTCAAGGGCCGAACAGCGACGATATCGTAGGTTTTTAAAACGGGATTGCCAGAGTTCAGCACCTGGGACTGAGCGTGAGAATCGGCGCAAACGGTGAGGCGCGTGTACTGACGGAAGGGGGAGGCAGGAGGGACGCCGAGAAGGTCACGGTGGAAATTGACGGAGGAGGAGAGAGAGGGAGTGACTTTGAGGAGAGACGAGAGAGAGAGGAGAGAGATAGAGCAACGCTCGTTATCTGACATGACGCCCTTGATCGTACGGTTGTAGGCGATTCCGGAGTATCCGAGCTCCATTGCCTTAATAACGATTTTGACACGTGCGGTTTTGTGAGCGGTGTTATTGGAGGGCGGAGATTCAAGGTAGGGAATGTTAAGGTCGAAGAAACCCATGGTGAGACAAAGAGAGCCCCAGCCTCCGTGTGTGATGGGGTTTTGTAGGGTTTATGCAGCGGCGTTGCAAACGGTGTCGTTTATTTGCTCTAAACTGGCATCGTATGACGTCATTTTCTTTTAGTCTATAAATCGTTCCCAATTTAAAATCTTTCTAACATCTTAATCAATAAAAGAAGAAGGTAAATTTGTTAGCTACTCTTTAATATAATATTATAAGAATAAAATGTATTAATTTTAGGGATTTTATCATTAAATATTACGTTCATAGCATATTATTAAATTGATGTTCAATATTGTATTGACATTATAATATTACAATGCTTCAATTGTTTGAAATTTAGAGTCTTGGGATTTCAATATGTTTTTAAACCCAACCCGCCTCTTGACTTGGTCAAGGGGCCGGTTTTGGGGTTGATCGATCATGTGAGGGGGAGGGTGAGTGGGAAGGGGCACAGGGTGCGAGAAAGTGGTCGATGATTAGGTTAGAGATTTTAAAATAGTGGACAAGGGTCGACTGAATCAGAGAAGGTCCCGGTTCTTGGTCCAACCGGGCCGGGCTGAGTTTTAAAATAGTTATTTTCAATTTTTTTTTTTTTTTTTTTTAAAATATGCCCATAATGTTTGCTCTCAAAATACTAATTGCCCATTTCTAGCATTTGAGAGAACGGACCATTGGTTTTATCGCATTGATGTCCATAATATCATTACAAAATACAAATAACATATAGTTACACTTGTAAGAACTGCATATTCACACCAAACTCGCAACTATAAATGAAAAAGAAAACTCAATTGACATTAGCATATACTCCCTCCTTTTATTTATAATTGACGTTTTAACATTATGCACATTTTTTAATAAAACAATTTTCTCTCTCCTCTTACCAACTCTTCCCTATGAAATTGCAGATGAAAAAAATTTGGTTTTCCACTATATACAAGTGTGAAAGTATTATTAAATTTAATATCTATATGTTGTGTCATTTTCTCTGTCCTACTAAATGATAGTCTTCGGCTTTACACTACTAAATGATATAAGCAGGTTGGGATACCAAGAATTCCAAATACCCAGTCTGTAATCACTTGATCTATGACGTATTCTTCCTAGAGTTGTTCTTTACCTGTGTTTGAGAGAGAGAGAGAGAGAGAGGAGATGAGGGCTAGAGAAAAAATGGAAGAGAGGAGACAAGGGCAAACTTGAGAAAGAGAAAAATAATTGAGTTGGTCAAACATCTTTTATTTTGAAAAAAGATAATAGCTTTAAAATGATTATTATAAAGAAACGGAGGGGGCATATTTTTAAGTAAAGTAATAACATGTAGTTACACTTCAAATTCAATTAGTACTTGACACGTTTTCTTAAGTAAATAAACTAAACAAACAAATGAAAGCTTTGAAATTCAATCATTTAGGTGCGTTTGGTTTAATATTTATATCCCAATTCTTAAAATATTTGTTTGTTTAATTATTTAAGAAATACTATTATATTTTTTTAATTACTTTTAAACCTCTTAAGTTTATTAATTTTATTAAATACCTCAAAAAAAATTTAAAAATTAACAAAAACACCCCTACCCACCTATAGTTGCCAGATTCCTGAAACCACTGTCAGTGGTAGTTGAAATCTGTCACAATGACCTACAAACAATCTGAACTTGTCGATAATTCACCGATATGGCCTTTTCCGGTCAGATCTACAGTGGATCTGGCTAGAAAATGCCAGATCTGGCCATTGGTGACGACCAAAGATATGGTCGTCCCGGAAAATGCCAGAATTGGCCATCGGCGACGACCAAAGATATGGCCGACGGTCAACAACGGCCGTCGCTGATGGCAAAATCTGGCCTTTTGCGGTCGTTGACAGCCAGATCCCGATCGGTCTGCGTCGTAATGCCAGATTCCAGCGGTGGTGGTCGGAATCTGGCACTGTGTGTGGGTGGGGGTATTTTTATCATTTTATAAAAATTTTATATATTGGAGTGTTTAGTTAAATTAGCAAACCTATGGGTCTTTTTTTTTTGTAAATTTTGAAATTTTACCTTGTAATAATCACCATATTCAACTATCCAATACTATCTGCAAAATCTAATTTAAAATAATAAACTAAACACACCTTAGAGATTATCTACAAATAAGGAGGGAATATTCTTAAATTTAGCAAAATTTTAAGAGAATCATGCTTTTTTTTTTTTTTAAAGGACAGTATTATAAGAATAACACTGACTAATCTACAGATTTATTTATATTTTATGACTAATTTATCCTTAAATGTTCTTTGAATCCTTCAATTAAATACTAAAAATTTGGAGGGATTTAAGTTTACCTTCAGTTTGGGTTTGGGATCTTACACTTTAAATCACCAAATCAACAGGCGCCAACTAGTCCCGCGCAGTTTCTACCTCCCTCTGCAAAAATCAAATCAAAATTCCAGAAAACAAACACAAAACCGAACTCCCTCCACGTCACCGATNCGACGGTTCTTTGAAATTTGGAACCAGAACCGGAACCGATGGTTCTGGTTCTGGGTGTCTTGTAAAATTTATGACCCCCAAAAGTTTTTAAAATAACAAAAAAACCCTTAAAAACTTACAAATACCCCCCACCTGGCATTTGTTAACAAAAATAAAATTACAAACTTCATTACTTTATAGAGGTAGATTCTCAAAAGTCAAACCAACTTACTTTAAATGTTATAAAATATAAATATAAATGTATTCACATTACTTTTTCTACAAAAGTTTTTATTAGCCCCCTTAATATTTAATTTAATTTTATATTAGTCTCGGTTTCTGGTTCTGGTTCCGGTTCCAGTTCCTAACTGTAGGAACCAGAACCAAAATTGTATAGTAACAGTTCCAAAAATTTAGAACCGGAACCTACCCATTGACGATTGGTTCTGGGTAAGAACTAGAACCAAACCTAGAGTACTCACCGATTCTGGTTCTTTTGAACACCCCTACTGGCATATACTCCCTCCTTTTATTTGTAATTGACGTTTTAATGTTATGCATATTTTTTAATAAAATAATTTTCTCTCTCCTCTTACTAACTCCTCCCTCACAAATTACAGATGAAAAAATTTGGTTTTCCCTCTATATTCAAGTGTGAAAGTATTATTGAATTTAATATCTATATTTTATGTCATTTTCTCTATCCTACTAAATGATCTTTGGAGTCTTCGGGTTTACACTACTAAATGATATAAGCAGGTTGAGATACCAAGAATTCCAAATACCCAATCTCTGATCACTTGATCTATGACGTATTCTTCTTAAAGTTGTTCTTTACCTGTGTTTGAAAGAGAGAGAGAGGAGATGAGGGCTAGAGAAAAAATGGAAGAGAGGAAACAAGGGCAAACTTGAGAAAGAGAAAAATAATTGAATTGGTCAAACGTCTTTTATTTTGGAAAAAGATAATAGCCTTAAAACGATTATTATAAAGAAACTAGGGAGCATATTTTTAAGTAAAGTAATAACATGTAGTTACACTTCAAATTCAATTAGTACTTGACACGTTTTCTTAAGTAAATAAACTAAACGAACAAATGAAAACTCTGAAATTCAGTCATTTAAGGTGCGTTTGGTTTAATATTTCAATCCCTATTTCTAAAATATTTGTTTGTTTAATTATTTAGGAAATACTATTATATTTTTTACTTACTTTTAGACCCCTTAAGTTTATTAATTTCATAATACCCCAGAAAAAAGTTTGAAAATTAACAAAAACACCCTATCCACCCATAGTTGCTATATTCCAGTAAGCACTTTCAGTGGTAGCCAAAATCTGTCACAACGGCCTACAAACGACTGGAACCTGTAGATAATTCATCGATCTAGCCTTTTTCGGTTAGATCTGGCCATCAGTGACGACCAAAGAAATGGCCGTCGTTGACGGCAAGATCTGACATTTTGCGACCGTTGATGGCCAAATCGACACACATCTGACTAGATCCGATCGGTCTGCATCGTAGCGCTAGATTTCGACGGTGGTGGCCAGAATCTGGCTGTGTGGGTGGGTGGGGTATTTTTGTCATTTTACAAAATTTTTATATATTAATGTATTTAGTTAAATTAGTAAATCAAGGGTTTTTTTTTTTGTAGATTTTGAAAATTTACCTCGTAATAATCACTCAATTCAACTATTAAATACTATCTTCAAAATCCTATCCAAAATAATAAATCAAACGCACCCTTAGAGATTATTTACAAATGAGGAGGAGATATTCTTAAATTTAGCAAAATTTTCAGAGAATAATGTTTTTTTTTTTTAAAGGACAGTATTATAAGAATAACACTGATTAATCTACAGATTTATTTATATTTTATGACAAATTTATCCTTAAATGTTCTTTGAATCCTTCAATCAAATACTAAAAATTTGGAGGGATTTAAGTTTACCTTCACTTTGGGTTTGGATCTTACACTTTAAATCACCAAATCAGCAGGCGCCAACTAGTCCCGCGCATTTTCTACCTTCCCTCTGCAAAAATCAAATCAAAATTCCAGAAAACAAACACAAAACCGAACTCCCTCCACGTCACCGATCCGCGTCAAACTCAAGGAAAAAATCTCTACCCTTCATTTCAAACTTATCCACGGTTCCAAACCACTCCTACAACACCACCCCGGATCGAAAACCCAAGACCCCAACACCACACGTTTCTATAAATACTCTTCACTATTTTGTTTCACCCGCAAACCAAGTTACTCATTGTACTCTTTGAATCTTCTCTCTTCTCCTCAACAACTCTCAAGATCAGGTATTCTTATTTTCCTCTCTTGTTCTAATTATTTTTTGCGTTTTGTGAGTCGAAATTCTGAGCTTACTTTTGATTTGTGGGTTTATAGAAAATGTCGGGCCGTGGGAAAGGAGGCAAGGGTTTGGGCAAGGGAGGAGCGAAGCGACACCGTAAGGTTCTCCGAGATAACATTCAGGGTATCACAAAGCCTGCGATTAGGCGTTTGGCTCGCAGGGGTGGAGTGAAGCGTATCAGTGGGTTGATCTATGAGGAAACACGTGGCGTTCTGAAGATATTCTTGGAGAATGTGATCCGTGATGCCGTGACATACACTGAGCACGCCAGGAGGAAGACGGTGACTGCCATGGATGTTGTGTATGCGTTGAAGAGGCAGGGCAGGACTCTCTATGGATTTGGGGGTTAAGTTTTTTAATTTGTTTGTATGTAGAGGGACAAGTCTTGCTGTCAAGAAGCTTATGGTTGTGTTTTCAGAGTTAGGGTTATGTTTTTGTAATTCAATCTTTGAATTGCAAGTGAAATGGTTTCTATTTCTTACTGGAATTTGTTTTCTGTAGAATTGGTGTGGTAATTATGAATCAATGATAGATTTTAGTTCAAGTTTATAGATTGTTTGGATGGTTGATGAGTTAATTATATCTTTCATTCTTGTTATAGTTGCCTAATGTTTTCATGGTTTTCTTTTTGTGGTTGTACATGGCATTTCTGATTTTTGCAAATAAGCATATTTTATTACCAACAGTTTTATTCAATTGCTGAGGAAATCAGTAATATGGGACAACAATCTATTGCAACTATTCTGTCAACAACTTGAGATCGTGTTTCTGCGGTTGTGGAGCTATTCACTTCACTTGACCTATGTCTGGAAATTCGAGATTGTGTTTCTGTAAGTTTGGATTTATTCATTGTACTTTACCAAATTCTGGAAATAAGAGATTGTGTTTCCCAACTTGGGAGCTATTCACTTGAATTGACCAAATGGAAATAAGAGATGGTGTTACTGAAGTTGGGAGCTTCAGCTGTTCACTTAATCGGCCAAATTCTGGAAGCAAGAGATGAATAGAACAGAGATTGTGCTTCTGGATATCAGAGAATTGTCTGACCAAACTATGGAAACGAGGGATTGTGTTTCTGAAGTTGGGGAGCCATTCACTTCACTTGACCAAATTGTGGAAGAAGGTTATGAAATCTACTCACATTACTCTTGTTAAGAAGTTGGGAAATTCAACAATTGAACAAATTCTTGAAGCCAGAGATTCACGTATTCACCATTAAATAATGTTTGGTATAATAGACTCATTAAACATGATAGGCCCTTGGCATCTCAGATTCCAGAACTATATACAAAATGAAAAGATTTGCTTGAGACTTGAAAGATTTGGAAACTTTTAATCGAGGAAAATTATAATGTAAATTGTACTATTACAAATTCTATTTAATCAATCTAATCAAATTTTCTGGGTCCAACATTACCCTTTCCAAATAAACAGGATGAGGGTTAAATATGATGCCCAAAAGTTAAAAAAGTCGATCTCAGTCCAAGTTCGTGGCATTTTCAACGTCTCAGACTAGGATCCTTTATTGGGTACTCACTCCTCCTTGCGTTTTGAAAAGTTGCGAGCATTAGAATATCTTAACCCGCTTGTACACCTCCCAATGAACTTGAGAACTTCATCAATTAGAATCACTGGTAAAGAAACAGTCAAGACCAAGAGCCATTCATTCAGACTGAGAGGAACAATACCAAATACTTGAGCAAGGAATGGCACATAAAGGATCAAAAAGTGTAGGCCAAATGAAATAGACATAGCCAAAAGGAGCCACGGGTTGACCCATGGGGGCATTGTCAACAGGCTTGAGTCCTCAGACAGAGCATTAAGGGAATTGAACATCTCAATTGTGACCAATACAGAGAGGGAGAGAGTGGAGGCTTTGATTTTCCCAGAGTGGAAATACTCACACGGATTCACATCAAATGTGAACTCTTGACTGCCAGCTGTAAAGGGTGACACTGAAAAATTCTGCCAAGAATGGCACTGACCCCAATTAGCAAGCTGAGAGTAGGGCACAAGACTATGGCCATCTCCACTCAGGTCAATGCCCAAGAACGTGTCGTGTGTATACCATATAATGAATACCCCAACAGTTGCTAACCCAACATAGAATCCAATCACCTGAACCAGGATTAGATTATAGTTAGCATCATAGTAAATACTAGCTAATAATACTCAATGTATGTAACATAATGATGTGTTTCTGTTGGGAGATTTAGTTTGTTTTTGTACCAGATATCGGAATAAAATCCAAGGAGTGATCAATGAGTCATCACTTCTTCTGGGGGGCTTCTTCATAATATCCTTATCTGGAGGGTTAAATCCTAAGGCTGTTGCAGGGGGACCATCAGTAACAAGATTTACCCAAAGAAGCTGGACCGGGATCATGCCTTCTGGAATGCCCAAAGCAGCTGTCAAAAATATAGAGGCAACCTCACCAATATTTGATGATATCATGTACCTGCAGTAGAGTTTGGGTGGGTGGAGGAAGAAAGAAAAATTTATTCCATGTTCAAATAGGGGAATATGAAATCTAAACTTGACAAAGGAGAAGACTATAACATTGAAAAAATTCTATTGGATCTCCAGATTTAGTTGGTAAGAGAACGTGGGGATAGGTGAGACACAAGTTGCTGATACAGCAAAAATCCCAGCAATTTCAACATATACACATGTAAAACAAGACAGATGATTCATAACAGTTCATGCTCCAACATTAAGATTGAAGATTAGTTTGAAACCCTTTTGTTTTATACACAATAGCATTTAACTACAAAGCCATCAGTTGGTTACTTGCATACAGGAGAATGCATGCTCGACACATGATATAAAAGGTAGAAAATGGACCTCATTAAACACTTCTCATCGAATATCATTCGTTACCCTCTAATAGAGAACATCACTAAATGGAGAAAAGCTGACCTGATAAAGGCCTTCATATTGTCGTAGATAGATCTGCCTTCACCAACAGCAGCAACTATAGTGCTAAAATTATCATCTGCTAACACCATATCAGAGGCTTCCTTGGCAACCTGAAAAAAGAATGGTAATGTTACTAAAATAGTCTAGTTGAAAGCAGGATTAGGTTAATGATTTACAAGGAAAGGAGGGGAAATGAAAACAAGCAGGATTAGGAAGCTATTGAACTACTATGAAATACAGATATGCTGAAAAGGAAGAATGAATTTGTTGTTGTATCTTATGATGCATGCATTGTGTCAGATTGAATGCTCACACTTATCTCAACAATAGCATTCAAAATATGCATATTAAAACCTGCTCGTTGAGGAAATCAACTTTAAAGACATAATTAGTAATGTTTGAAAGTACAGAAACAAGAAAAACATGACAGAACAAAACTTCACACAAATGCATTAATTGAACAATAAAATCAATCAGGAATATCCGAGTTAATTTTTTTCTTTAAAAAAAAAAAAAAGAAAAAAAACTCTAGAAATGAAGAGAACTACCTCTGTCCCGGTAATGCCCATTGCTATACCTATATCAGCCAACTTCAACGCAGGTGCATCATTCACTCCATCTCCCGTCATTGCAACAACTTCACCATCCTCTTTAAGTAATCTTACTATTTCTTGTTTATGCCTTGGTTCCGCCCTGGAGAACAAAAGCCCTCCACTTTGCCGTAGATGATTTTTCTGATCGGGATGAATCATAAAATCTTTTCCAGTTAGACTTCTTGAACTGATATCTTCGTGAGGTCCAAATACACCGATGTCATGACAAATAGCTTCAGCCGTGTTCTTGTTATCCCCTGTAATGACCATGACACGAATTCCAGCAGTTCTGCAGTCCTCAATTGCTTGACGAACCTCTGGCCGAGGGGGATCCTTCATAATTGAAATTAAATTGATATTAGTCATCAATTTCTACAGAACAGATAGGAGAAGTAATAAAAGTTTACAACAGGAAAACAAAAAGCGAGTAAACAGATTACCTTTAGCCCAACCAAGCCAACAAAAATGAGTCTACTTTCAACTGAAGAATAACGGGCAGGATTAAGCAAAATCTGATGTGCTGGATGATCTTCATCACCATTATATGTTGCAAACTCTGAGAGGTCATCCTTATATGCAAAACCCAGACAGCGTAATGCACTAGTTGACATTTCACGAAGACTGCGTAAAATTTGATCCTTTGAATATTCATCCAATTCAACAACAGAACCATCAAGTAATTGAATGAATGAGCTCCTCTCCAATAAATTTTCAACAGCACCCTGCAAGATTTGAGCAGTAATTGTTAAAGAGAAATAAGGAAGAGAATAGGGAAAAAGCGTAAAACAATCACCAGGGATATTAATGCTAACAAGGGAGTCTTAAAATAGTAAAAAGTAAAAGATCAATAAGTGGAAAACAATAAAATCAGCATAACACCAAATTATATAACATAAACCAACTGCCAGAACATTGATTTAGAAAAAGAGGACCAATTTTTTTGGAGAATTATAGACAAGAAACAATCAGGTGCACCATGGGGGCAGAATCCCCAGTTTGTTATCAACACTTGCAGATTCATCCAGATACCTATGGTCTACATCCCTTTCCAATTGACTTCAAATACAAAATTTTCTATTATCTTTCTTCAGATGAAATCCGGACATAAATACAAAAGTCAAAACAAGGTGCCACAGCATTCCTGTTTTCTAAAAGATAAAATATGGACCAAGTGCAGTGAAATTATGAATAATTCGACAATCATGGTTCATTGTATGCATATTCTCATACGTAAATGTAATTAGGAAAAGAGGATTGAGTTCATATTGCATGAGAAGGCAGCTAATGGTGAGCCTGAGTAGCTGAACCAATAAGAAGCAAGAAGACCGAACGAACCTTCACTAGCAATGACTTTTTCCCCGAGCTGGAATTCACAATTACCCCCATGGATTTCCGATCACGGTCAAACTCAAGAGTTGCAATCCGCTGCTCTAGTTTATTCCACAGTTGACAACAACCTAACAGGGCGCGAAAAGTAGAATAAAAACAAGTTTAGAGCATACAAAAACACCATAAAAAGAAAAGAATAAAAGATTGAGATGAGGTAACATACGTAGAACATCCTTCAGACTTGAAGATGAACCATCATTTAATCCCTCAGGGAATCCCATTTTCTCAACCAGTACCTGTAAGTTTAGGCAGAGGAAACGGTGTTAGAATATTAAATTACATTCTGATTACACCCCTGCTTCATGTAAGTTTGGGGTATATTTAACAGATTACATGCCAACTAAAATAACAAAAGAATTCACTTCCAGAAAATTTGTAATTTCACCTTTAATGCTGCCTCAGTGGGCATTCCACTAGCGACATAATGACTGCCAGATTGCTCAACACCAGCATCATTGCAAACAGCAGCAATCTTCGCTATCATTTGAAGATTAGCATCCATTCGTCCTACAGGCCAGTTGTTTATTTTTCCATTAAAAGGATTGAAGGTAGTACCTTCCACCTCAAAAGATCGGAGAGTGCCAGCCTTAGAACCCATAGCAACAAGCTCTGTCACAGACATCTGATTGGTAGTCAAGGTGCCTGTTTTATCAGAACAGATCACAGTAGTACAACCAAGAGTCTCAACACTAGGCAACTTCCTGACAAGGGCATTCTTTTGGGCCATCTTTCGAGTGCCCAGTGCCAAACATGTTGTGATAACTGCTGGGAGACCTTCTGGAATGGCAGCTACTGCCAGTGCCACAGCAATCTCAAAATAATACGTGCACTTCTCAAATGAGAACTTAAAATTTCTAGGCCAACCATCAACATACTCCCAACTAAGAAAATAGTTCAAATTCATAAGCCAAACCAAGGCACAGATCAGTCCAATTATCATTGTCAGAACCTCTCCAAACTCATTCAACTTTTTCTTCAATGGGGTATCTTCCTCACTCTGTGAGGCTTCATGGATTTGCAAATGCACCTGACCTATCTCCGTGCCCATACCCGTCTGTGTAACCAAGCAAATACAATTCCCATTCACCACAGTTGTTCCGGCAAAAACCATACACTTCTTCCCTTGAATATCAGAATTCTCCGGCACAACCTTAACAGTCTTGCTCACAGCTTCACTCTCTCCAGTCAATGACCCCTGCTCAACCCTGAAAGTAGAGCTTACCAAACTCAAAACCCGCATATCTGCTGGGACCTTATCTCCAACCCTCAACTCCACAATATCACCAGGAACAAGTTCTTTAGCAGGCAAATTTGAAATTCGCTTCCCTTCACGAATCACAGTTGCGTGCTCTGATTGAATTTCTTTCAAAGCCTCTAATGCTTTCTCAGCATTACTCTCTTGCCAAACACCCACAATTGCATTCACAATCAATATCAAGAAAATTACCAAAGGCTCCACAAATGCTGTAATACCCATCTCACCTCCTTCATCTCCATCGACCCAAGCTAACACAAATGATACAATAGCGGCAACTAACAAAATCCTAACTAAAGTATCATTAAATTGTTCTAAAATCAACTGAAAGGTTGATGTACCCTCGTGTTTCTCTAATTCATTATACCCAAATTTCTCTCGCTGCTTCTCAACTTGTGCAATTGACAGCCCATATTCGCGAGTTACTCCATAATACTCTTCACATTCTTTAACATCCCTAGCCCAAGCTGGAAAATCGTCTTGAATTGGCGATTTTCTATCAGTATTTTCCCTTTTACCATAATCTTGGCTCCCTTTTCCCATTGACTACCAATATCAGCGCTAGAAATCCAGCTCTGTAATAAATTTAACCAAAACCAAACACTTTGCACACTTTTACCTGAAATTAATAACACCGAAACAAAAATCACGATCTCATCACCCAAACTTACAAGCATTAACATCAAAACAATGACAGAACAAAAATTACAAGTACCAATAATCACTAATTACAGTTTCTCTCATGAACAGTTGAATTACCATACTAAATCAGAAAAACTCCCATATCTTTCCCTTGGCCAAACAGAAAAACAAAAGATAAAAAAAAAAATTACCAAGTAATAATAAACTGATTGCTCTATTAAACAATTAAATGAAAATTAAAAATTTAGGGTTGGGATTTAAGTCTTACCAGATAAATAGAGAGAAAACGTTTTGGCAACTGTGTCTCTCTGAAAGAAACCAATCGAGATCTAGCGAATATAAAGAGCGAGCTATTCAAAGGCTTTAAGCAAAGAGTTTGTTTTTAAGTGTGATAGTGGTCATAGAAGAATCCAGATTCCAGGTGGGAAAACCCAATGGGAAAAAGCCACGTCAGTAAAGTATGTGGCTACACATAAAGTGATCGCATGTGCTGGTGTTCTTTGTTCACAGTTTTCTTACGTGGCATCCACCCCGTAGACTCCTTTATTCAATGAGTTTTGTGGCTGCAGCACTAGATCTCTATTCATGGAAATTAATTTGATAATTATTAATTAATTATGCCTTTGTATAAAAAAAATGTAGTAAATGGATATTTTGTCAATTTAAATTTCTATATTTCAATAACGTAATATTATACTTACTAATTTTTTTTTTATAAATATAATATATCAATTTGTAATGGATCCATTTGATCAAATACAAATTAATAAATTACGAGCTACACGACTAGTTTTCGAAAAGCACATTTATTGAGCATCATTTTACCATATTCATATTTGGTAATTGGGAATATTAGTGACACAAGCAGCAGCAGTTACTGACACAGTCTTCACCTAATACCTTGGTGGCATCACCATCAATTTTCAGTTTGTTTGGAGGAATTAATCGGGGCCATTGGAATGAAAGTTGATCAGAGGATGGTGTCAGCTTGTTAGGTTGTCAAGAAACTGGAACTTGTAAGTGGTGATCAAAATTTGTTCATGGTTTAGACATGACCAAGTAACAACTGAACGGATGGAGGTGGAGCCCAGTTTTTTCTTATTCACATCACGACGGGATCATCTTAACTTATAAGAAAGGATGTTGTTCTGTTCTGTTACAAACTATTATTTATTTATTTATTTAAATCCAATACTTTGAAATCATCGGATTCGAATTAATTAATTAAATAGAATTAACGGATTAGATTTAGAAGAGAAGACACGTGGTTACAAGGCTGCACCAAACTCAGAGAGTCAAAAGTTTGGAAGCGTTTGGTCTTGGACCAAACTTGGTGGGCCGTGCTCTGGCTTAAAGGTTAGCCCACGAAATGCTTGACTGGACCCAAACAAACTTGTATTAACCACCTAACCCAAATCGTGTTAGGGAAAATGTTTTTTTATCCCCCACAATTTTCTTAATTAAATTTATTGTAAAAATGATTATTATTTTTTAAAAGACTATTATACCCCTATCTAAAATAGAAGATGGAAACTAAAGAGATAAACCTATATTAAATCAAATTTAAAAATGATATTATTATTATTATTATTATTATTATTTTGTTGAATAATGAAAGATTACAAAAGGGTCTGAGTTTTTCCCCAACTATTAATAGGGGTGGTTATTAGGGTTCTTATTCGATCAGCAATGCTTATGTTCTAGAGGATTAGTTGAGATGCGCGTAAGCTGGTCCAGACACCCTCGGTAATTAAAAAAAAATGGGGGACATTTTTTAGGATCGAAGAAACACTATTAATTACTCTTACTAATCTTAGTTAACTTACGGAATTTACCACTCTAGAATACCAAGTCACAAATACAAAAACATGAAGTTAATGAATAGCTTTCTTCCAAAGTCAGAGCCCCGGAAAAAGCCACCTTTCGGTGGATTTCTTGAAACGAAAAGGATCAAATATTTATAAATATATAATTTTGGATCCGTGACGGCCAAACAATCAATTGAAACTGGCTTTTACAAAATGATATAGCTTTGACTCTACATTTTTATCGTTACCTGTTTAGATCAAGATTCTCCTTCTCATACTTACCTAAATCTTAAACAAAAACAAATTAATAGTCTTCTTGATATATAAAACTTTTATAAAGTGTGTCAAAATCACAATGAATTGTGTATTTATGTCGGGTGGGAAGATTAATGGATGGACCAATTCATGATTACCTAATTATAACATAAATTATAAAATTAAACACAATTAATTTATATTAAGTCATTATCAAGAGTGACAAAATTAATGATCACCGCATGCACCCAAAATATAATCAGCGCATGAAACACCAATGGGTTTTTTTGTTAATTAATGTTGGCACACCATACAACAATCATAGATCATTAAGCTTTATCAAGAGTGCCAAAATTAAAAGAACATGTGTTTGATAATAATTGAAAGATTTAATATGAAAAATTAATTTAATAAATACACATTAGATGATAATAACTAGGTGGGTGGTCGAGTGAGACGTTAAAGACTCTAGGGTGTATTATTCGAAAGGTATTGAGTTCGATTCCTTTCGATTGTTAATAGAGATAGTCACTGAAATGAGATTTATCTGGTCGTTAACTTTAGGACTTTAGGATTAGACGATGTGTGAACAAACTGGCCAGAAATGTTTGTGTCATTTTGTATAAAGTGTATTAGTCTAAATTAATGCATGCATGGACCAGCAGAAAAAGTGGTTATATATAATTATTTCACCCTAAATCATTTCATATTATTTCTTCCATTAACATTTAACACCGCCTGAGCATATAAATTCTGATTTACATTCATTCCTATAAATTAGAAGAAGAACATTGCGTAGTCCCCATAATTGAATCTCTAGCAATGGCCGCCTCCTGCATGTCAACTTGCATAAATGACACCATGGTACCTCTCCGGCCTACCTACGTCAGCCTCAACAAGTGGCCGGAATCGGAGGCGGCGTTCGTGAGGTCGGTGAGCGATAATTACGAGCGCCGGGGAGGCCATGCGCATGCTAGAGTTGTTGATAGCATCTCATGCAGGCAAATGTATCTGAGAAGCTACACGTTTACAAGGGAGGAAGAATTAACTGTCCCGGAAAAGATCAGCCAGAAGTGTTTTGGCGGAGTTAAAGAGAAGATGAAGAATAACAGAAGATTGATTAAGAGATCGAGAAAGGGGAAAAAGTACAGTACTAAATACGTTGTTAAAAGGAAGTGTGTGGTGCTTAGGCGAGCTAAAGAGGTATCATGTGCAGCTTTGTTGTCTATATTTCGTAGATTGTTATCTTGCACAGCTAAAGTTGATGTTGCTGATCGTTGATATTGAGTTTTCATGACAAATAATATATATAACAAGAACTCTGCTAGTTTTATTAATTTTGTGGTTTACTCAACTTTCTGTTTGCTCTGTTGCTGGGGATATTGAACAGAGAAAGTCATCAATGGAGGGAGATGGCCATGTACTATATTAATGCAGGTGTCTTATTAACTAAACAAAATTCTTTATCCTTGGTTTGTGTTGATGTTGGAATTTCAGACTCTTTTTATTTTTGCTTTTTCCTATATCAGCATCAGTAATTGTTCTAGAATTACCATTAATAAACCTTAATTATCAGTTATAATTAATTTGCTTATATGTTTGGGGATTTGGGTGATGGGTCCATGAGAAAATTAGATAGAGATCCTAGAACCTTCTGCTACATTAATAATATCAGGGTTAACTATTTTCTGGTAATCGAGTGATTTGATATAGACTCTTTGGTGTATTACTCAAGAGGTCCTGAGTTTGAGTCTCTCATTGAGTGTTAATAGAGGTAGCCATTAAAGTTTTTACCCGATCGATAGTTTCTAGATCCTGAGGATTTCATCAAATGGAAGACTACTCAGTTGATACTGATCTTAATTGATACAAGAGGTCCTGACTACCTTACTTCAATGTCATTTAGTTACAGGCACCTTTAAAAGATTATTGCTTTTACTTATTTGAATGATCATATGATTAGAGTGTGCAGTTTTTAAATCCATATATAGCATGTTCCAATTAGTTTCAGATAGGGATGAGCAGATTAAGTAGTGTGCCAGTGCCGCACCACTAGTGGGGAGAATTATAAAGGAGGCAAAGGACAAGGCATATGGGGCCAATAGCTAAGAACAGTACTTTCTTTATAATGGGTGGAACTTACAAGCAAGTTTCATTGGGTTCTGGACTGTAAAAATAACTTTTTCTGCATTCATGTGCATTTTATATTTGATTAGGCGACAAATTAATGCAGCCTAATTAGTGCCAAGTGCAAGCAACTGATAATTAGGATAGTAAAGTCAGAGCATGCCATATGATAACATTAAATACTTGTGTAAACGAGAACATAAAGATAAGCTTACTTTAAATGTAAGACAGATACCTTCCAATTAGACTGGTAAGATTTTGAGAGATAGTAGAAGTGGTTACTTGTATAAGTGTTGGAAAAGGAGTTCTGAAAGTTGAGACAAAAAGGTGAATGTATCTTTATATCTCATGCGATATCCAGAAAAAACCTACCAAAAACTCAAAGGCCAAGGCCGGGTTTTGAACAATGCGTGCAGGGTTTGCTACTGGAATAACCGAATAGAATCAAAAAGTCCGCACAGAAAACAGAACGGTTGTTTTAGTGTGGCAAAGTAGAGACTTTACAGAAGGTTGCATCTCGTTTGGATCTTCTTTTTAAATGTTTTTACTATCCGAAAGCAGCAGCCCCTGGCTTTGTATAGTGCTGCCGGTTATGTTTGCAGAAAGCATGAGAAAAATTCACGAGTCCTATACCTTTTGTGATAGGTGCTTTCTCTTATACTGAAGCCTGAATACATTTTCAAAATTCAATCTTAAATTGTTCCACCTGACCATCTCTAGGTGCAATTTTACTGGAAGAATCTCCAATCAACCAACCAGTGCAATCTCAGAATATAATTGAAACAAAGATGCCATTAAAATAACAAATTTAGCAGAGTTGCTAGTTGATTTACTATGCTCCTGCAAACATAATCAGAATCTGCTTCACACTTGCAATGCACAAAGCCGAAATTCCCCCCTCAGGCGGAGACACTTCTAACAGACCAAAAAGCAACCCAAATTGAACCTTTTGGCCAAGAGCCACTGCCCTCTTTTTGCTAGAATAGAAAACCAACTCAAACCAAGAGACACTGCAACTATGAAGGATTACCAAGCATCTTTGCTTAAAATCATCTTATCCTTTTGCTCTTAAGACAGTGCTTACAAGACTCAAGAAGACAGCAAAATTTCTGGTAGGCACAATAAAAAACAAAATAACTGCATTAAGCATAAGTCACACAGAACTGCATCAGAGAAAAAGTGCACTTTAATGTAGTTAATGCTGCATAAATTATGGAAATGAACAAGCTAATTGACAAATCTAAGATACAAAATCCTTATCCATTTTGTAAAACTTGCTAGAACCACCAACAATGCTGTAAATGAAACGCGCACAACTTCCCATCCATACTGTTTGACTTATACACCTATCTGAAGGATGATAAGCTACGGCCACACCCTCCTTTCATTTGTCCAGTGACCAATCAACAAGCCACATTATCATATCCTCCCGTCATTAACAACAAAATGCAAAGGTATTGAAGCGCAAATCTAGTCTCCACTCTATGAACAAAATAAAGAAATACAACAATCTATTATGATGTAGAAAGTATCGGTTGATCAGAGGACAAACCAAAGTTTAATTGTGAGAGGAGCTAACCCATGGAGAATACAATCTCCAACAAATCACCTGCCCTCAGACTTAACAAGCTGCGAAAACACCCTACTCATTGAAACTCCTGAGAGATCATCACAATTGACACATCAGAATGTGCAGCAGAAACACTAGCATCAACCGGGCTGAAATTGTTAATCTGAGGGAGAGCTCGCCGATCAAATTAGTACTGTTTTCTTCAGGATCACCTTGAACAACTGCCTCCTGAAGTTGAAGAGCATATTCTAGATTCCACAAGACATCTCCCATTGAGGTCTGTCAATACCAAAGTCGCCAAGCATTTCTCAGCAGTTTCCCAAACTTCCTAAGAGAATCTGTCTATTTTTCCTGCAAGAGTAGAATCTATGATTTGCTCCAGCTGCCCCTTCTTCTGCCATTTCATAGCCCTCAGCTAAATTCACCATTTCCTTGGAAGGGTTGATCTATAACAGGTCTTGCACATAGGACTTCAAACAAAACCACCCCAAATGAAAAACATCAGACTTCTCCGTCAGTTGTTGCCTTCGAAATATTCTGGATCAGGTAACCAAACTCCTTTCACTGCAGTACTCACATGGTTTGATCAATTTCAGGTCCTGTCTTTGAAAGACCAAAATCAGCAACTTTGCCATGAGGTTCTCATCAAGCAAGATATTCGCAGACTTTACATCACGATGAATAACTGCTTTCGCGTAGCCTGTGTGAAGGTAATGAAGTCCTCTAGCAGCTCCAATCACACCTCAATCTCTGCTTCCAACTCAAGCTGGGAAGACCTAAGCCATAGAGATGACCCTTGAGGGTCCCATTCTCCATGTATTCGTAAATCAAGATCATCTCATTCTTTTCATCGCAGTACCCAATCAGTGAAACCAGATGGCGGTGCCGGAACTGAGAAAGCATCTCAATCTCGGTTTGGAACTCTGCAAGTCCCTGTTGGGACCGGGGATTTCCTCTCTTAACCGCCACTTTTGTACCATCATTTAGAACTCCCTTGTATACCTTTCCAAAACCACCAATCCCAATAACCCAACTTTCATCGATGTTTAGTGGCTTCTTGAACTGCCACAAAAGGAAGCGATACCCCAAGTTAGATTAACACTAGCAGTTGTTCCATTAGAGTATTTACTCTCCATGTGTGAGAATTTCCTCCATTGATATATAAAGGAATCCATGTTCTTTGAGTGTCCCTGCTGCCCATTCTGCTTCTTTTCCGGACCACATAAAGAGAACTCCAGCCAACACCACCAAATAACCCCCCAACAATCACTCCCACTATCATGCCAACATTCTTCTTTGAGCTTGAACTGGTGATGTCAGGGGCCAGCCCACTGAGGCTGCTGACGAATTATTCATCTTCATTATCTCCAGACCATTTAGACATTGGGGTAAGTTTTGTGCAGTTAGAAGGACCAATACTTACACGAAGCTTTTGCTAACAGTCTTTAGTGAACATAATCCATAAATATGCAGCGGCTAAACATTAACTAAATAAGTATCAGATCAAGATCCTTAACAGCCATCCAGGAATCAATAAAAACATTGAAGTACAGCTCGTTAAGACCTGCACTTTCAATATCACAAAAGTGAAACCGAACAAGGTACTGAAATCCTGGTCCACATTGAACCTCCCAGGTCCCATTGAAATTGCTGTCAGGATCATCATCCGAGTTCATCAGGTGGCAGTACCATAGACAGAGTCTGGAGCAATTTGACGAGTAGCCCCGCCTGAACACCTTGACAGCAGAAATCTTAGATATAACTTTGGCAACATTTGCTTGAAGAAGGAAACTTTGATCAGGAACCCAGGTCCCCCAAGGGTACGTTCAGAGGGGTAACTGTCGGTCCACCCATGTTTACTCTATAAACTGTCTCCAACGCCTGCCACATCAGGCCTTGAAATTCTCTTGTGGGCTAATGAGGATAGCTCATCAGTAATGAGCTGGTCAGGAACTGAAACAACTTCAATGGCATTTATGAATGCGAATGAATTGTTTGACGGACTGAAAGTGATAACAAGGTTATCAGTGGTTACATTCACCGAAAACTCTTTAACTACTTTAGAGTTTGTAGTGAATTGCTAAGGGGCCATACTTTTGGCTGGAAACTGAAAAAGTACTTTGCTCATAATGAAATTCCCCGAATCAAATGGATTGAAGTAAGCCGAATCCAGTGCCTACCAGTTTGGCTAATAGAGAAGGTGTACTTCGAGGATCCAGTAAAATTCTAGCTGTTTGATACAGCGACGAATCATTGGAGGAGTCACAGGTTTTGAAGTGTTGACGGTAATATCTTGTGGAGAAGAAGCAATTTATCAGCCAATTTATCAGCCATGAACCACACGACCACCACTGTAGTTGGTGAGTGATCCACAGTCTATGATGTAATTGTCTTTGGGAGTATATGACAACAACCAAAACATGCTAAACACAAGACTGACACAACCCAGATTAACAATGAACCCTCTACAGTCCATCTAAGAAAGTCTTGAAATTGATTAAGCAATAAAACGCTTGGTCGTCTTAGAGCTTACAATGAAACGAATCTACGGTTGCAATACAGAAATAAAAATACAAAAACTTTG